TGGTGGAGCAATCGTTGCTAACATGGGTCTGCTTCTCCTGTGTGATGACAGAAGCAAAAGCTGGCGTTGGCCAAACAACTCAACCTGAGGCCAAGGCAAGTGGAAGTGTGGTTTCAGAACCGAAGAGCAAGGTATTCTTTCTCCGGCGATTAATTAGGTGTGATGATGCTGTGACGTTCGTATACTGATCTCGTTAATGCTTGGGTTAATCTCAAGACGAAGTTGAAGCAAACAGAGGTGGACTGCGAGTTCCTGCGAAGGTGCTGCGAGACCCTCACGGAAGAGAACAGGAGACTGCAGAAGGAAGTGCAAGAGCTGAGAGCTCTGAAGCTGTCGCCTCAGTTCTACATGCACATGACTCCTCCCACCACGCTTACCATGTGCCCTTCCTGCGAGCGCGTCTCCAACTCCACCGCGTCCACGACGACCACCATCACCACAACCTCAACCTCGTCACCGTTTGCCAACGCACCGGCGCAGCCGATGCCGGAACACCATCAGTTCCTCCACCACCGCACGATCCCGGGCCCATGGGCGCCGATCCCGCTCCGGCCATTCCTCGATGCCCCTCCGCAGCGCTCGTAACTGAGCTCTCGTCAACCATATCACCCACACCACCATCACCATGACCATGGGCTCTGGGTTCTTGCAAGATATGGGATGCTACTGTTGCTGTCAGCACACGATGAGTGCTGTGCTGTGATGGTGATGGTTGGGTGGGTGATCGATAGGAGAATCCTGTCAGCTTTTCTTTTATGACAGGCATTCCTCAACTCAGATTATATTCAAAGCCTAGTACTGGATCCGGATCACTTTTGTTTTCCTCCTAAGACTTGGTGGTGTTAAGTGTTCCGATAGATCTCGTTCTAAAACTGCTCTTTCTTTGGTCTGAAATCAAGAACATGCATGCCTTCATCTGAAACCATCAAGAAATAAACGTCAGATCCCATGCTGTGTCTCAGCTGGTAATTTAAGGCATTAGGTGTTCATCACCATGATCACAGCTGGGACTTGCCCCTGAATGATTGATATGAGTTACTCTCTCTCTCTCTCTCTCTCTCTCTCTCTCTCATGCGCATATGGTCCTGTTGTTCGGACTCTTTTGTTGCCTTGTGCTATAGCTTGATGGGCTGCTGCATGTATAGAGAAAGACAAACCAGGGAACTCACGTGGGAAGTGCCCAGGAGGGTGTTGAATCCGAGGAATATAGATAGAAGCTCTTCTTCTTCTTCTTCTTCATCAAGGTTTCTGATGGTTCGAGTATTCTCTCACTTCTTTTCAGTCTAATGCGGCCGGTGAGAACGAAATGGATCTCAGTAATATGCTTCCCGGTCTGTCCCCGCCTCTGCTTTAGGTTGATTCATCCTACTGGCCACTAATAATATTCTTAAGTTGCATTTATTACACAAAATTATAATGAAAATGACTAATGAAGTTCTCATTGATTTCAAATAATATCATGGACAATTATTTTTGGAAGACTCAAAAAATGTGGATTACAACTCTGTCTCTCCCATGCTTAATTAGCCTAAAGTAATCCTCTTAAGAAGCAATGGCGAAGGCTCAGAGGATTATGCCCATGCCATTTCGATCTCATCAAAAAGGAGGAGACAACCGCTGGCACACCACTGAGTGCAGGCCAGGGAGCAGAGGATTATGCTTCTTGCTCAGAGTGCAGCTCACACAGTAATTAATTTAGTGTAATTACAAGCACTGGGAAGAAAACTTTGATCATAAAAATTACAATAAAGAAAATTGATAATAAAACACAAACTCAATAATGTGCGGATATGAGAATAATAAATATAAAAAAATAATTTTTTTTAACTCCAACTCATGCTTAAAATTCTTATATATCCTCTTATATAAACAAAAAAAATTCTTCTCGATCTATCTAGATCTACCATACATGATATTTATATAGTAAAAAGATCTTCAAGACTTATCAATGTCCTTTAAGTATGAGAATTGAGGTATCTGAATATGAGGGCTTGAGATAAATTGTTTGTCTTAAATGACCTTGCACAATTGGATCACATCAAAATAAACTACAAAAGGTGTCTCTTAGAGAGGCACCAACTATAAAATATAAATATTAGTACGATTTTCAAGGTCAAATTCTCTCTTCCCTTTGAATATTAACATGAACAACGAAGGGACTATGTCGAAAAATCTCTCTAAACATCAATCCTGGTATGGTGGAGGGATGAGACTAAGGTTCGGAGTGTCACTCTAGATTCCAATCTTGGTGTGGGAGGAAGATTGATAAAAATAATAGAAGATAAGAACAATTATTGAAGAAGTGAAGAAGCTTAAATGCATTAACATGTCCTTCTCCTATTTATACATATACAGATTAGGAGAAAGGAAGAAATCCCGCAGTAGATCGCTGGCCGAAGGCAAGGGCGAAGCTTTGTTTTTCACAGCGGCATTGGTCGCTGGCCGAAGGCAAGAGCGAAGCTTCGTTTTTCTCACTGCTCTGATACCATGATGAAGATAATATCGCTATCAGATTAGGAAGAAGGATTTCACTCAACAAAATGGAAGATTTTTTTCAACAGAATAGAGAAATTTTTTAGGAAATCCTATCTTCTATCATAGATGACTTGGGTTGGATACCTGATTGGGTAGAACTCTTGGCTTGGATTGTTCTAGGCACAGATCCCTTGCCATTAATAAATCATTTGTATAACTTGATTGATTCACTACGTGAAACTTCCTTTCCTGCTTAATCTACGTCGACATTGGTATAGCAGAAACTTACGTAAACTTATCATCATCGTCAACTGTGTCATTTCTGCTAAAGAGTGCTACTGGCTTTGTAATTAGAGTAGAAGAAACCATTACTGAGTAGAACAGGATTTAGGAAGACTTCCCTACCTACATTCTTTACATCTCGTTCATATTCGCTGAAGCACTACAAGTTCTACAGTATCAGAGTCGCAGAATTGATCCGCAGGAGGCGTCTCCAGGTGGTCGGAGACGTAGCTCTTGAACGCATCAGACTCGCGTGCAGCCACTGAAGATTTGCAACGAGATGCACAACCCGCCGGCACGGCGCAAGGAAGAACGTTAAGGGGATGACGCAGATTCCCAATTCCAGTAGCAACATCGTCGCAGGACCTATCTGTGAGCATCATACGTATCAATCCTAAATAAATAAATAAATAATAAAGAGGAAGAATCATTTCTTTTAGTTTCTTTTTTGTTATGTGCTGATATTAAGAAAGATATTATTAAAAAAAATAAATTATGATAAGATTATCATGATCCCTTTATTATTTTGATATTATGTTATCATGATTTTAATCATAAAAAATATGATAATATATTATCATGATTTTATTAATAATAAAGATCATGATCTCAATATCATCTCCTACGTTACGTTATGAAATGATCTAATAAATTTTAAATCATCAATATTTGGATTTTTCATCGTAAATAAATAGTAAAGCAGAAGAATTTTTATTTTAGTTACTTTTTGTTATATGCTGCACAACTTGATTTTTAATATGGTGTGCTTTTTCATATAAATGAAGTAAATAACTTCATAATTTACATTTATGACATAACTTTCTTTGCCAATGTCACACTCCAAATAAATTCGAAATTTATAATTTAACGATCATTATTTATTAATCATAAAAACATCATAAAAATATAATAATTTTAATATAAAAAATTTAAATATAAATCATAGTAAAAGATAAGAGACCTCTCTCCTCTATGGATCTTCTCTTCAATCCTCTTGCCAACCTCATTGATAATAAAGGAGAGGTAACCTTTTATACATGAGAAGATGCATCCACCCCAAAAGGCAAGAATATTTTAATGTTCATATTTAGTTTATTTTTTGCTTTATTTTCTCAAAAATAAATTTCGAAATATTTATTTCCTAAAAGTCACAAAACTCATTAGAAAATAAATAAATTAATTTTTTAAAAAATGAATGAATGAATTAATTGACTGAATTCTAACTTACCCACACCATTAAGAAAGCCTATTTTAATTATTTCCTTAATCATATTACAAACAAGGAAATCAATAATTCAAAAAAAGAAAAAACTAATCACGATAATTCTGATTAATGACAAGAGAAAAATCTCCGATGATTACAGCCTATTTCTGAATCATTTGGTTTTGCTGACAGTGATTGCATTTTTATAACTTCCTTCAAGAGTATAAATAGTTGAATAGCTATCTCATCTTTCTTTTTATTGCCATTCAAGGTCTGTTGATGCCAAATCATGAGCTCACTGATCATTTCTTGGGATCTTACAATAGCATTTGAGGAAGTTTCTTTTGAGTAGCTTCAATGGAGGAGCTGTCACGCAGGCCGTGGACCCAAAAACTGGGTAATATTAGTTAGTTTTTATACTCTATTTTTGATATTAAATACCAATAAATGAGGAATCATCTTTTTTTCATTTATATAAGAGGATAAAGAGAAGGGTGGTGTTTATAATTTCTAGACTGGCAATTGTTGATAATGAGGATCTGTTATTCCCTTTGTTTTGCAACTTATAATACCACCACACAAAAATGTGAATTCCAACAGCCATTTTTCTGACTTGTCTTTGATTTGCAGATGCAGATTATTTCTCTTTGATGTGTACTAATTGTTATCATGTTGACCAAGTTATGGACAACAATGTCATAAAAGAACATGGTCTTGTTTGCTAGAGTCATGCATTAAAGTAAATGGGAATTGTAGAACTCCCTAAAGAGCAGATTTATAATCTCAAAGGTTTAATTAGGAAAGTAGGTAATTAAATACCTAATTAGTTGAGTGCAGGTTTAGATAAAATTTATGAATACATCACCTGTTCCACATCCCTAAATTATTCCTCACCCAATTATCTCTGCATATTTGGATCAAAAGGAAAGCAAAGGAGACATACAGTTGTATCTATTGCATGTCACCTTACATTTGACTAGTATTATTTTCATCTACTCCTGTGTAACAAAGCAGGAAAAGAAAGTGGACGCGAATGATAAGAGCTCTACGTTATGAGGTGCAGTAGCACCCAAAAATAATTGATTTCTCCTGCAAAAACTGGTTTCACTGTTTGCCATTCTGTCCGATTTGCATACTTATCACCGAGAAGTCAAGTCGCAACAAAATAGATCAGCTACTATGCTATTTCTATTAATAGCAAGACACCACTAATCTGAAATATAGAATTCTTACCTTCCAATTCCTCTTTGCTATCTGTATCGTATCGATTAATCTTCTAGTCCTTAAAACCCAGGCGAAAATTTTATTATCACATCTATAGAGGGCTTCTGGAAGTTTTCAAATAAAAATTGCAACGGCTACAAGCGGCCGTATGTTTCAGAGCTTTGAAGCTATTTGAGCATTCTGATCAGCAGCAGGGAACACAAAACAGAGGGATAAAGCAGCTACGAGCTTTTTGATATCCTCAAAAGTGTGAGCAGCACTCAGGGTGATCCGCAACCTGTCGAAGGATCGAATCTCGAAGATGTCACAAGATAGATCTATACTGACGTAAAAGAAAGGAAAATTTTCTCTAGAATTTTGATCATAGACCTACCTGCATGAATTGGGAGGAACTGTAGGTGGCCTGATTGCCGTTATATGAAAACCAGATTCTAGCATATGTCTGGCCAACAGTAACCACATGGGGATAAAAACAACCGTAAGTAACATTTAGGAGAACACATTTGAGGTAAAAGATGTGAAAACAGCCTATCACCTGCTTGCACAAAGTGCTGCCTTTTCACTACCGATGACCAGAGAAATTATTGGACTAGTGATGTTAAGTCGGGTTAAAGCATTGAAGTCATCCACTCTACTCCAAACCGCTGTTCTCCGCCACTTCTCCTTTCTTGCCACAACAAGAGAAGCTGCAAGGACACTGCTTGATGTGAAGCATTTTCCACAATTAAAAAGCACTAGTTGTGGACACCATAAGTAGTTAAAAAGAACAAATAGGAGGTACAAGTTATTCAATGTGAAAGTCAAGAAAAACCTCATCATAACAACCCTGTGTTTCTGGAAGTGACAGTATTTTCATCATAGTAATAGCTTGAGAGGATTAACCTTACGATGTTTATAGTCTTCGAAAAAAAGTTCTCCTAGAATGGAAAGCAGAGTAACCATCAATTCATCAAGTTCTATGATCTGGAGCTTTATGCATGCCCATAGTACTATTCAGATCCCGAAATGAACATCTCACACCTGAGCAGACAAAAATGTTCATCTGCTTCCACAATTACAACCTTTTATATCAATAATTATAACAATGGCAGGTAAATTCTTGACTCACTGGTCACACAATCCACTATCCTTAATTGGGATAAGTCCTACCTAGAAGCATCTTTCTTGAAATAGTAGCATTAATCACACAACTTTGATCCTGAACTGGTTGCTTTAACCAAATGAAGTCCATTATGAGTCATTACATGTATGGAGATGTAAATTAATGCAAGTCATTTTAAGATACCCAATGAAACATCCAAATTAGAAATTAAGAAGAAGAATTACACCACTTTGACCCTTGAACTGAATGGTTCTACTATTCAATAGATCAACTATAATGTCTTGAGGGCACCTGAATCAAAATAACTCATTTGCAAATTCAGCAAGAAGACAGAGATGCATGATTTTAAGTAACTACATTAGAAATGTTTTAATATTATGTAAACAGTATATAAGAAGCCAAACCTAACGTCTCCTCTGATGTAGACATACAGATTGATACTTGAAACCTATTATCAAGGAAAATGAATTGTGAATAGGGACCAACATGATTCACGGGTATTAATACAGGAGTCTATAGATACCACTTCTTTGATAATACAACAATTTCCAATTTTCTTCTTCCCCAAAAGGGCCTCCTTTTGAGTGTTTATTGTGAATTTCCTCTATCCCCTATCAATCTTCATAACTGATATTCTCACGGCACACAACGAATTATCCTTGCCGCCACTTCAACTTCTCATTAGCTCGTCTAACATTTTCACAAGCACCCTATGTCTTCCAAAGTGGATTTTAGTTAATTGCAGAAAGGTTAGGCATTCAAGTGTTGATTTAAGACATTGATTTATAGCCATTGATCAAATAATGCAGCTACAAGAAGACGTCAACAAAAATGTATCAACTTTCCAACAAAATTATGTTAGACAACCTCCAGTCACCATGACATGTCGTAACCAAGGTTTTTTAGTTTCAATGGTACACCAACCTGGCAGAAACACGACCAAAGTAGTGCCAAGGACTGAGCAATTATGCCAAGAATTATGTATCAAGCAGCAAAAGCCACTATGGCCAAGGATTCAATGTCTCTTCTTAGTCTCAGCCACCATTTATCATTCTTTTGTGTCCTACATTGTTTACCATGTGAGATCACTATCTTGTACCCAGTGTCACCCTCATCGCCACAACATTCTGTACTCTACAAGTCAGATTCATGAGGGGACTGACATCACCCATAAACAGCCAGACAACAGCCAAAAAGGGTTGCAGTCAACATTGTATGAAATATCTCAGGTATTCTGACATAAAAACCTGACACCAAGAACTATGAAATTCAGAGAATTTGTTTACATGAAATAATATGGGTTGGAGAAACTCCAAGCAATAAATACCATAAGAAGCAGCAACAATCGGCACTGGGAGTGAAGTTGAGAAGATAAAGGAGCGACCTCTTGATTGTATTAGCTGTTTCCATTTATTGCTGCACAGTAAGTGTTAGATATTAGATACTCGACTTTAAAGAAATAAAACATCTAAAAAGCACATCTGCTTAATCTTCCATGTCCAAATACTGAAGCAACTTAAATATACAACCAACACTATGTAGAAAGAGATAACCTCCTTAATGAAAACTGAAGCACCAAAATATTCACAATAAGATCAAGCTATTAAAAGTCATGTGGCATATACAACTCCAAAGTTGCATAGAGTAATAAAAAGGAGTACAGCAAAAAAGAAAGCATCAAATTTGGAAGAAAACTTTTATCACATCAAAAATTGGGAAAGCACCATAATGCACTAAAAAGTACAAAAATAACAAAGAAAAAAGCACCAGGAATTAGCCACAGAAATATTGGTTTTTTTAATCAACTTGATTGTTTAAGCTAAGTTTGACTTAAATTTTTTAGTATTGAACATTAATAACTATTAATTTGTTAGAGTTAAATATATCTTGGACTCTTTCCCAATAGCTTAAACTTGGAGGATCTGTGGTAGCCAAATGAAAATCTTTATCAATGGCATCAGAGCAGTTTGCAAGTTCAAACTTTGTATTTGCTCCTTTTAATTTGTTCAGCGTTTAATAATAATTGTGCAATGTCATCTTCTCTAATTGACTTGCACACACTTGGGTTCAATTTCACATTCGTAGTCTAATTCGGCTCACATGTGGTGGACGATGTTAGAGTTAAATATATACTGGACCCTTTCCTAAGGGTTATCCTTGGGATTTATGGAAGTCCAATCAAAATCTTTATTGAAAATATTAAATACTTTCCATCCACAAATGAGGACTTCATGTCTCCTTTACATTGTTATTGCTTATGTGATTTAAAACATGATCAAAATAATTATTATGATGAGCTTTTCTCACAAAAAGGGAGCAACTCAAAAAGTTTTGCTAGTTTAATAAAAACGTCTAGAGATTTAATAAACTATTTAAACTATGTTTATGCTAAATTTAAGGTATTGCAGTGAAAAAGTTTGATTGTTCATTATCAACAAAAAAATGTAACACTCAATTAAAACAAAGTAGCATCCAATTAACAGTGCTATCAGCATAATTTCCATCGATAAATTAACATGATGTTATTCAAACTGACTTAACTCCATTTTCATTATTAATACTATTGCTGTACTATTTTGGTCAAGTAACTATTGATTCTTTTTTGCAGTCATTCTCACATAAATTAGGCTACCCAGCAAAAGCACAGTAGAAATTTAATGTAAACTGCATAAACAATAATAGAACATTAAAATTTTAAAGAGTTATAATTGTTAGTGAAACCTATTTATTTATTTATTTATTTTGCTGATGCTATATTCCGAACAAACCAACCAACAAACAATTCATACTTAGGTTTAGCAGTTGATCACTTATGATAGAGCTGTATGTAAAAATTCAAATGAAGCAATTTGATTGAAAACCCAGAATATCAAGTATTGTTCCAAAACTTGAACATAACTCAAAAGAATGCATAGGAGGAATTAAAGTCTGAAATTTTTCAATATCTTTTACACTTTGTTCAGGCCTATGTAAGTCTTAAACTCTCACTCTCAAAAGTTTATGGAATCATTAAACAAGATGGTGGCAGCACACAAGGACAACTGAATAAATTTTGGAATTCATAATATGACCAAGATATAATATATAAACTGTAACTTTTAAATTGTTAAGCTAACAATTGAAGATCTTAAGAAGATAGGCATCAAAACTGGTCAGAAAGTAAAAGCTTTAGTTTTCTTGGATTCATTGATCAACAAGAAGGGACATCAAAGCGAATATTTCTTATGCAGCATAACAGGAACATCATTTGGAGATATATTTTTGCTAAAGAGGATATTTGCTATCCATTGATCATTCAGCAGGAATGATCTAATGTTATGAATAGCCTGGTATGAAGAGTAAGTAATAAATAACATATCACCACCAATGGTTTATCGAATTTTCTTGACCGTGCAGTGCACATAGGAATGTTAGAGATTATTGTTGTGAGAGTTGGAGATCGTCATTGTCAGAATAAAAGGACATGTCAATCAAGTAAGATATTTTTCCCAACCCAAATGAAAACGCTTCTCATTCCTAGTCACTCGCATAATTATGATCCAGAATGTCTAGTGGCCAAAAGATAGCACAAAAAAAATAAATTTACAAAAGAAAGCCTAGAAAAAGATGGTTCAACATATTCAAAGAGAATTTTTTTGTTTCAAGTGTACTGGAAGAAAAGTTAATTTAAACAAAGGTTTGGCACTATAAGAGAGCAAGAAAAACCAAAGAAGATATTGCCTGAAACAATGAGAAAAGACATGATGATCCTTGAAGGATCAAAGGATGTTAATCCTCACTGAACAGAAGGATTCATGTTATTTTGATTGTTGTAGCATGAGTTACCCATGTCAATGCATATGCTAGACAGTATGTATCATTTAAATAGATTTAAACTAGGAATAGTTAAGCAGTCATGACCACATACATTTGCCAGCATGTGACTAGCATAGGCATGAGCATAGTTGATGATAAGCATTCCCAGTGCCATGAAGAATAAATCCATACTTGAAGCACAACAAGCATAAGCATCGATAAATGATTGTTGAGAGTTATAGCAACTACTATTATTCTTTCCAACTTATGAGAGCCAAACCAAGTATGATCATAAGTCTATAAGTGAATTTCATTTAGTGAAGTTGTAGATAGTACCCACTGCAAAATCTCATCATAAATACAATCTGTGAGAGTTAAGAGAACATAGATTTGTTATTACCTTTGCTGGTCTTATGATCCATGACTGACATAATCAGTTAAGTTGTATACTTGTATGAATAGACCAAAATAACATGAGAGAATTACCTGCAAGCAACAAAACCACCCAGGCAGCCGACAGCCTTACTCAAAGTGCCTATGCATATATCAACATCACTTTCATATCCATAGACTTCTAGAAGACCTCCACCATTCTCCCCGCATACAAGTGTCGAATGAGCCTGAAACCATTTTCTTGACAGTCAAATCCTTTAAAATACATCAAATGTTTAGGATGAAATATACCAATCTTTTCTCACATCGTCAATGGCCAACAGAAAACCATGCTTCTTGCGAAGCTCAACAAGATCACTTATGGGAGCAAAATCTCCATCCATACTGAATAGACTGCAATATAAGAAGAGAAAAAGATCAGATATTTCAGATTCATGGAGGAAAAGTATCTGACGGTCACACTCATCAAAAACCATATTCCAAAGCACCTTGCAGCATACACTGCCTGTACCACAGATACTGTACCAGTCTGATTAGGGACCAGTATGGGACCAGCACTGAAATTAAACACCCTGCTTATAGCAACCCAAATTTCCTACCCAAAAATGCAACTTGAACAACATAGGACAACATCATTGAGGTCAACAGGTGCAAATTACCTATCAGTAATGACGACCTTTTTTGCCATCTTGCAACATGACCTGTTGAAAAACATGTGTGTTTCCAGTTATTCATTCATATATAGACAACACATTTAGACTTAGCCATATTAGAGAACATACAACAAAGCATTGAGATGGACCATGTCACGATGCCGGTACACAAATACTTCAGCTTCTTGTTGCCGCTCAACAAGACGAATCCCATCAATTATTGATGCATGGTTTAAGGCATCTGAGAAAATAGCAATCTTCTGATCTTCGGATGGTCGGCCACCAACAGCCAACAGAGAACAAATACTTCCAAGAGCTGACATGAAAGCCACATTGGCAGCAAATCCAGTAGGACAAAGAAGGCAATCCTATATAGCATTTAAGCCAAGCAGTTCTGTATAGTAACATATAATAAATAATTGAAAAACAAAATACAAAGAATTGTATGACATCTAACTTGTTCATCTATAGTACAAAATATAAGGACTAATAATTGGAGTACTTAAAGCTGCACAAAATTTGCAAAGAATGATGCATACTTGTTACTTCTGAAAGAGCTTGTACAACAAAGTTTTAACACCAAACTTTACATATCCATCCTTGTGAATTGCCCTAGTGGCTGTCTCCATTGATCACTAATACAGAACAAGCACTAACATTTTCTCATTCCTGCAAGGGTAAAACCTAGCATACATTAAAGCTCTAACAAAGAAGCATTCAATAGTTTGTTAAAACTTTAATTTGTGATTTTGCATGACCCTGCATGTATCAGCCGGTTTACGGGAGGTCCAGATTAGGTACAGGGGTCACGACCCAATTTTGGCATGTTATCTATCATATCTTAACCAAGTGGAAAGCCCACCACATCCGCTTGCGCTGTTCACACCACTCGTGCTATCGGCCCAGCACGCATGATGCTCTTCTCCTTTTTTTTCCTTCTCCTCCTCTTCCTCCACCCTTCTAGTACTGTGGTATGTATCAACATATCATATGTCGATACGCCCCGAATTTATAACAGCCCAGCCTGTGACCAGCATAGGTCCAGTGTGCAAAACTAAAATCCTGGATGAAACATTAGGTGACATCCTCAAATATTTTGCACAACTTGACACTGTCTAGTTCTAATCACTTCAACCTTTCTGATCATGGCTTTCAAATTCCATAATCTCGACATGCCCTCTATGCCAATATGTCAAATAGTCCAACTAATACTCTGTTACTTCAGCCAAAAAAAATGTTCATTATGGATCTTGTGATTAGCATATACATTGCTAAGCAAACCTCGGGTCCAGATGTGAACAAGATGAAAATTTTGAAAGGCTTGTGTACATTAATCACCCTTATCCTTGCTCCTTATTTCAAAAATAATAGTCAGATTAGTATCAAGTAGGATCACTTAAAGCCCCCTCCCAGTGTCTTATCACTAATATTGTGTGATAAGTCTACTTCTGAGGCAAGAATCAAGTTTTCTCAGCATAAAATGCATGCACACTAAAAGATATCATACATGGCCAAGTAACAGTGAAATAACAAGAAAACAAAATGAAAATTAGCTATTATAGTCTACAATTAACAAATAATCAAAGGAAATCTCTTCAACCAAAATCAAGACTTTTCAATGTTTGAATCAAGAATAATGATTAAATAAGTTCATAAAAAAAATTCAAAAGAACCATTGTTTTACTATACGATATAAACAAAGTTGATGATACAAAAGCAACTCTAAGTGATTCTCCTCTCGTTGAATCCTTTAATTCTATATTTTTTTTACTGTTCTACTAACTTCAATCCCAATTGGGCTTTTATCAGGTATCCTCAGCTTAGTTTTATAGGACACTTCTATTGAACTCGCTCATCTTTTGATATCAAATTTATGATGATACTATGATTTAATACCAACAAAAAGAGGCACCGTGATCCTTTTGTATTTCATCAAATCCTATAAGTTGCTAGTATGAGATCAACTCTACATTGCCAAGGAGTCCATTTTCATTTTGGTTTTCTTTTCCCTGTTAATATATATGCAAACAAAACTATGATGTTACTTGCCAATTGATGTTAACACAGATGACAAGAAGATCCCATGCAGCCCAATGCATAAAAGAGATAAAACCGGTAGTCCGAATTGGATGGCATCGAGAAGGGGGGAGGTGAAGCACGGGTGCAGATCCAACCATACGCGAATCGACACGAAATCCATAGCGGGAGGGAAGGGAGAGTTGTGGAGAAGGGATCCGAATCCAGAGCACACCTCAGCAGCAACCAACCAATATTGTAGACTCGGTAAAGAGTCTTCATCAAGGTTTCCTTGACTGAGCAAAGATACACCTAGGAGTAGGGTGCAGATAAAACATAGATTCATGAACAACCATGTGACAGAAAGGTGTCTATATTACATTTGGAGCAGACTTCTTCCTTTTTCCCTTCCTCTATTCCCACTCTCAGACACATCAAGCAGTAGCCACAGATTATTAGCAGCCCAGCAGTAAAAGAAGGTGATAGGCAGCAGCAGCAGCAGATTATTAGCAGCCCAGCAGTAAAAGGTGGCAGGTAGCAGCAGAGCAGCAGAGGATACCCATTTATGGCAAGTAACAATAGTATCAACCCAATATGGGCCTGGCAACATTAAAGACATGCTGGATTGGTCCATCGCTGAAGCAAGATCAGTCAAAGATTGAATTTGATCAGTCCCGAAGAAGCTGGTTAAACCAGAATACCAATCCGACAAGGGAAGGGAGTCCACCAACTCCTGTCCTCATGCAGAAAGGAATCCTGTGATTACTTTCCATGAGGCAGGGTCAACAGTCTCACGACTTGAATCCTCATGCAGATATAAGTATTGTGACTCGTTACCTCACACAGCCCCTGCCCTATATAGAAATAGGCAGGAGTTGCCCAGCATGTCTATAATGTTGCCAGTTCCCGCTTAAGCTTCTGATCTTGTCACTGGTCCAATTTGGGTCTTCTCTGCTTCTGGTGCTGCTGCCATTGGCCTTCTTTTACTGCTCCCATGCTACTAATCTGCTGCTGCTACTAGACATTTCCAAGAGGGAAGAAGACCCAGGGGTACTTATCTTATCTCATACAAAGATTTTTACACATCCATGCAGCCGAAGACTCTCACCCAAGTTCATGAAATGCAGTTTGAAACTAAGTAAAAATTTTATAGTTGATGTAGATCCCAAGACACTGCTGAATGTTGATTTGGCAAAATAAGGCTTGGCCAATCCATCATGTAAAGGAAAGTTTAGATTGGTGCTACACAGATCCTCAATGATCTAGTGACAAGTGTTCTTTCAATCTCTTTTGGTTTGGCAATGTGTGCTGCAGGACATTACTACTATTGACTTCAAATAATATTTGATACAGACTAATATTGGTTCATTGTTTCCTTATATATTTTTCAGGTACTCTGTCCAAAATTTTCTTTAATTTTTATTTCTTAGTTGTTCATTTTTGGCAAAATCTTTGATACTCCGATTCAAACTGCCAATCGCCCTGGATCCTTCCTCCTTAAACCTCATTATGAAGTAAAGCAACAACCAAATAATCATCTTCAAGGCTTACATTTAATAGTCATAGAGAGGATGTCTATACGGTTCAACTTGTCCAATATTCATTCTTCAGACCCTTGGGAGACAACATTACTACTTGCTACCAAGAAGCAAAGGTAATCTAATAGTGCATAGCAACAAAGATTTATCAAGCACCTCTTTGTTCTTCAGTTCTGCCAATGAAGCTTCAAGTAGCATGTGATAATTAGAGTAGCCACAGATCAAAGCAGAACCCCTTGGACCCATACCATGTTCTTGGGCTGCCTAAAAGAAGACCGAAGTAAATAAAACTTGTATAAAAATTTGTAGATAATAAATTTTATCATGATTTGCAACTACATGCAACCATCAAATTAGTGCACCTTTGCAGCAGCCTTCCGCACAGCCGGATGGGAACTCAAACCCAAGTAATCGTTCCCTGAGAAAAGTAGCAGCTTCCTACTCACGTTCTCATCTTTAGCGATGGACTCGCCTCCTGGATAGACAGCACCAAAGATCCAGTTCTCATCGTGAATTATTTAATCTCAAAAATACCTTACACTAAGTGAAGCCCCTACCAAAAAGAATCACGTTTTTACCAAACCAAGAAGAAGAAGAGATAAAGTCCTTTCACTAGGAACCGATAACAGTAATTGAAGGAGTTATTTCTGAGAAAAAGGTATTTAAATGTGAAGGACGCAACAAAGATGAACTTTTAAGGCAAGATAGGAAGCGAATGCAAGCGAAATTCTGGCAAAATAGGGCAAAAGCATATTTTTATACCAAATACAAAAGGCTCAAAAGATTTACCCGGGTCAGGGAGTTCCGAGAGCCATTCGCGGAAGGCGCGCTCATCCATCTCCACCTCAACCGACGACCGGTCCCACTGGCGAGGCCCATCGAACGTCTCGACCTCGTCGGCGGGAAAGTACGCCGGCGTGAGGGAAATGGGGCGGGTTGAGCGCAAGAGATTCTTGGAGGCCAACTTTACGAGGGCCGCCTCCACCCACTGATCCCAAAGCGCCATCGGTTTCCGGAGAGAGAGAGAGAGAGAGAGAGATGAGCCGAGAATTACCCAAAGGAAAACGCAACGTCGAGAAGACCGAGGAGAAACGGGCCGCGCAAGTAAAGCTTCATACTCACAATAATTCATTTCTTTCACCCATAACATACTTTAACTCAAGAAAAATAAAAATAAAAGATTCCTTAAATGATTCCTTAGAAACCTTAAATGATTCCTTCTAAATTTGCAGTTCGGAGGTTGAAACAACGAGGTTTTCTTTTTCCCGATTGATAACATTCTTGGAGTAGAAAGCCCATTCTTACTTCAGTTGCGTTGTTTATTGTTCCAAGTAATGTAGACTTTTAGATTTGATCTCATCTTTCTACCTAAACTCTTCCTAAATAGTAGTACTCTTTGCCTTTGAATGTGTTGAAAGTAATCAAGGTTGGATAAGCATGAAATATCAACAACTGGTTTTAGAATTCTATAAAGACAGCTTTTTTTTTGCCTTATATTATTTTTAGAAAAGATAAATTCTTCAAGTTCTTCATATCATTACCGATTAACTGTTTAATGGAGAGAGGAATAGTAACCAGGAGACTAAGCTCGTGTGTATCGGATAAAAAGAGACATGCAATGCGACGTCGATTTTGTTAGCATAAAATTTATAATCATGTTATCTGTAATGCGAAAAAAAATTTATGTCGAAATTAAAATCAAATAAAATTAGATCTAATAATATTACGATAAGTACTTTTTATTATTATTCAGAAGAATAAACCTTATCTGACCGATACAAGTATTGTCTATCTATAAACAAGAGTAGAGGGTTTATAATAAGTTATTAGGAGAATTTCTCCTATCAAGTACATCCCCTAAGGAATCCTATTATAACATAAACTTCTTTTCTATTGATTAATAACCATAATCAAAATACAATCATATCTATAATATATCTTACCTAATTAAATAAGATCAAATAATTTAACTGATTTTGCAATAAGAGATATACATCATTTTTTTTTTATGATGTATCAGTTTAATCTCGAAAGTGGAATATGACTTTATTTGTTTGTCTATTATTATTAACTTGAATTTAAGTATTTTGATTAGTATGATGATATGGTCGGCGTTGGCTCAGATCGATCCTTATCTGATGTTAGACTTGGCTTTGCTTCAGGAAGTCTATTAAGGATATCCAATCTTACTGAGTTGAGAGAATTACTATGGCACGGCACATCTGTTGCATGAGCCACCGCAGCTGTCTCATCGTGCATAAAAGCCCACAGCATCACAGTCTGCTAGCTGCAGCATCGCTTGCTCTCCATCATCCTCTTCCTCATGAAAGAGCCACTCAGCTCGTCCTATTCCTCCTCCTCTTGCTGCTGCTCTTCTTCCTCCAACTTGTCCTCCGCCACAACCACCAATGCTTCGACAGAAGTAGTCCACAGTTCAGAGGTGATCTCAGGCAAAGTAGCCAGGGGTGGCTACAAGAGGAAAGGTCGGGCAACCGGTGGCGAGGAGAGTAAGAAGCAACGCACTGATGGCGAGCATCCTTCTTACCGCGGCGTTCGAATGCGTCAATGGGGTAAGTGGGTGTCGGAGATCCGTGAACCGAAGAAGAAGTCGAGGATCTGGCTCGGGACATTCCCGACCGCCGAGATGGCCGCCCGAGCACACGACGTGGCGGCGTTGGCGATCAAGGGGCAGTCTGCGTACCTCAACTTCCCGGAACTGGCTTCCCATCTACCCCGTCCGGCCACCGCTGCAGCGAAGGACATCCAAGCTGCGGCGGCGCTGGCTGCCGCCACCACGTTCGGCGATCACAGCCCCGGGTCACGCACGAGCCCAAACCAAACCAAGCTGTCACCATTCCGTTCTCCTGCTCCTGTGACGCCACCGAGAGACGACGGCGACGGCGACGGCGCTCTCTTCGATCTACCCGATCTCCTGCTTGATTTAAGAGAAGGCTTCAGCCACTCTTCGCCATGGGCACCGTCGGCAGCCGAGGACGTCAGCGAACTTAAGATCGAGGAGCCATTCCTGTGGGGATACTGCTGCTAGTCTCAATGATCTCTTTCTCTGCTTTGGTAAAATTACTTAACAATAGCTTCCTCACATACTAATATACATTTCCAAAGAACAACATAGCCAAATCATGTTCGACAGATCGATGAATACTTAGATGATGTATGAGTGTGTAACGTTACAGCCATGTTCCTATTTGCTCAAACTGTAAAGCATTTGCTTTGCCTCTGTGCCTTAGTGCAATCACATGGTGACAAATTGTAAAGGAGTAGGGCAGTTCTTTTCCTTCTCTGAAAACTATCTTCAGCATGATCCTTCATTCAATTGCAATGCTTACCTTTCAACAGTAAGAGGAAAGAGCATTAGAATATATCTGCATGACAATGGTCTCTCTCATGACACTGATGTGTCTTCAGTTGGGTTTGATCAAGAAAGAAAAATCATGGTTTGCTTTTCCCTTAGAAAGCAAAAGTCATTTAATGTGATGGAAATTTCTTTCTAATTTTTTTTATAAAAAGAATAAAATTTTCCTTTTCATCTCTCTACCAATCATTGAGAAATGCCCATGCTGTCAATCAGCAAGGTAGCAATTATTTGTTAATAATGAGTGACAGATGTTTTGTTGGGAAGTGAGAAAACCATTTTGTTTTGATGCTGTGAGATAATATTTGAAATTGTAGCTTTTGATCACTCTACTTCTGAGCTTGGGAGGTGATAAACATACAAAAATTAATCACTCATAATGTATGCTATCATGTTGAAATCTAATGTGCATCTCATTCAGCAGTCAGAGTGAATTATAGAACCTTCACGGGGGACATGAAGGAAAGGAAAATCTAAGATGAAATGTATGTGGGACACACATTCTGTAGAGACTCAAACAAAGTCATGCAGAGAGCAAGCTGGTAATAAATAACAATGAGAGATGAATGGGACCAGAAATCTATCCTCATGAATTTGGTCATCAACTTGTGTCCAAGCCATAGGGTACGGTTTGGCTTATCTGACTAAAGGCTTTCTGCTTGTCTTGGAGAAGGGAAGTCACAAGAAAAGATAAGAATGCTCATTATAAGCAAGATTTCTCTCAAAGGTAGCTGTTGAAAGGTACAATGATGCTCTTAATTTTTTCTTACATTTGTTATTTCTCTACCTTTCTCCTCTACTTAGATTGTATTGGACTAATTATATATTACTCTATGTAGTCAAACATCTCAGTCTCAAAGCTTGAAAATTTTATATTAAAATTTTTATAATCATTAAAATGAAACAGTTAATCTTTTTTATCCTAACATCGTTAGTTTTATCGATGAAAGACATAATATGTGATAGTATATGTATGAATGTTACGAAAACAATGGGTAAGAAGATAATTTCAACTATAATGGTGGGCTAATTAAATATTTTTAGCATTTCGATCCCTAAATTTTAAAATTTTATATTGAAATCCTAAATATTTAATCCAATTTACTCTAACGTTGTCGGTTTAACCGACGAAAGATAGAGTATGTGATAGCATATGCATGAATAACACAAAAGCAATAAATAAAAATGTAATTTCAACGGTAGTGATGGATTGTGGCATCGTGGGTGATTCTTGTGGTGGTGGTTGACGATAATGACATGGTGGTTGACTTTGTCGATGTCGATCCAAACATCGATGATGAGGAGGCAGAGTGATTAGGCATATGCGTCAGCACTATAGGAGGAAGAGGAGGGAGGTAAGACATATGTGTTGGCATCGCACCGCTATACATCCTTTTCCTCCTCCGACGCCGCTTTGCATCTGCGTTGATGCTGAAGGAGGAAGAGAAGACTGGTGAGGCATCTATGTCGCCAATGACTAAAAAGGAGAAAAAAGAGGAGGTAAGTGAGGCAAACAGGTGTGACGTCATTCATGCATATATTGTCACGTGTTGTATCTTCTGTTGGTAAGATCGATAGCATTCAGATAAATGATATTAAATATTTCACTTTCATAACTATAAGGATATCAATGTAATTTTTTAAGTGTAGGAATCGAGATGCTAAAGAAGTCTAACTAGGACAATCTATAATTAATCCATCATCACTATTGAAATTATCCTTTTGCATATCGTTTTTGTATTATTCATATATGTATTGTCATATACTATATCTTCCGTCGATACAATCGATGACATAAGGATAAATGAGGTTAAATATTTTTTTTATAACTATAAAAATTTAAATATAAATTTTTTAAATCTAAGAATCAAATATTAAAGAGGTTTAACTATAAACGGTAATATATAATTAGGTCGAATCAGAGTAAAGGTTAATCTCAAGATAAAACAAGCTGGATTACATCTATATTAGTTATCTCACAACCTAATAGTTAAGTTTTCAGTCGCATTAATGTTCGTTCACCATATGAGGTAGCCTAAAAAGTTGGATTATATACATAGAAGTTCCCAACTTTCTTGGTTGTGCTAATATTCTGTGTAACTTATCTGAGTTGAGTTGCCCAATCGAGCTATATATTTGACTGATGAACCATGAACATGGGTGGTAAGAAGAAAGACGCATTGTTTTTCCTTGGCTTAGAGAACCTAATAACTTTCCTCAAGAAAGTTCGGCGAGGGCGAGCACAAGCAAAGCATAAAGTCTATCATTGATTTCTTTTTCTCTTTTGATATATTTTAGGGAAGGGGATGAAGTGTGGTGTATGGCCAGCCTAAACTTTTCTTTTACGTTGGAAAGAAGCTCATCATACGCCTCTTTTACCACCATCATGAGATACTTTAATGCTTTTGATGCATCCCTTCTCCATTTGTTCTAGTTCATCTTTGGGTCCGGAAGGTGGAACCTCATGTTCAAAAAGAATAGTTTTCTTTTCTTTCTTCTTTCTTTCTTTTTTGTCTTTCTCCCTTTCTTTTGATTTTTCTTTGTTCCTTTCGAAAGGAAATCGGAACGTATCCGACAATGTCATTTTGCATTATATCTCAACAAAAGCGTTAGAAAAGAATCGATGTTTTTATTAGATCTAAAATCCATTTCAGATTCATACCAAATTATACCTGATTCTTGAAATCTGAACCAAGCATTTGATGCGAGCTGGATAGAATAAAATAGATTATGATTGAGTGACTATAAATTTTAAAATCTTAAATTATGAGGAAGTAGCTCAATATGCCTATTAAGTCTAACATTTATGGCAAATCAAAACTCCTCTGTTGGTTGATTAATCTCAGCTTTTGATCATTAAATCACACTTGGGAAGGTTTACATGCTTAATTTTGTTCCACAAGTACAACATTCATTTCTTCAGAATCTCAAGATAAACAAATTGGGAATTTTTTGAGGAATAAGTACAAACAGTGAATTGAGTGTAGTGAGTACTGCATTAGTATTTATTGATCTGTATAATTTTCTCATGTGAATTGTAAGGAGAAATGTTGGAAGTTACAGTAAGAGCACCTCAGGTTCAAAAGAAGGCATGGGACTGCTGTAACACCAAAAATAGTGGGAAAAGAAGAATGAAATGTGAGGTGACAGCAAGGGCGACAGCTTCAAGCACAAGCTCTTGACAAAGTTCTGCCATCATTTGGCTTGGTCTTGTTTTGGTATGTTGATCTGCATCCACTGTCACTCATTTGTTAGGTTGCAGTCTGTTCCCGGTGTGCTTCCACGAGAAGTTTTGGCCTACAAGTAATTCAAATAGTCAATGTGCTGTATGCTTCAGTTCCAATGCATTGAAATGCATAAAAATGGCAAAGAACTACCATTTTTCTAGTAGATCAAGTTCACATCCGATTCATCATATGTTTTGTTTTCAGAGGAGCTAAAGTATCACATAGAATCATTAAATTGTTGGAGTAGTAAGTTAAACTTCCTCCAGTCTTTTCTTAAATTTAGCTACAATATGTAATAATATTGCCTTGGTTGTTACAAATTTATGATGGATCTATCACCCACTGTCAATTGATTCCTTCTAAATGAACTAGAAAACTATGTGCTACCAAAATCTAAATTGCCAAGTAAATGTCACAAATGAACTTATCAGTATCAAGTAATTATGGTGATAACAGAAGCATGTACCAGGCTTTTACTGAAACAACATTATATTCCACATGATGCATTACATTGTGATCCAAGGTAAAAGTATATAAACTACCATGTGTTTTCACAGGAAAAATAATGGAGATGAAGAAAAGATATACTGATAACCAAAAAAAATCGTTCCATCTCTCAAATCTTTTTAAATCTCATGAGTCTTAAATCCCACCAACTCTCTTGATCTCTTATGTTATGAGGTCATTGGCCATATACACAAACAAATAGATAGAGTACACCTTCACCTAGTTCATTTATGCTCACAAACGATTAATCAACTATAGATAGCACATGATTAAACTTCTAATCAATTTAATAGAAATATACCGTCTGAGCATGGTGATTGATGCTTCTGCTGTGCCACTACAACAGGACCGGGACTTCAGTAGCATCTCTCTCCATATCTGACTTGAAGTAGCTGTTCCCACGAACTTTGCATTGATTTTTCTTTTCACATCAAGCTTGTTCAAATCATTCTATACACACACACACACACAGAGAGAGAGAGAGAGATTATATAAAGAGTAAATAACAACAGCGAGCAGGTTTCTGAACTGCTGTTGTTGGAACATCTTCAATTAAAGGTGCAGAATTTAGAAGCATTGAAATGGCTTCGACAACCAAATTACAGAGGATCACGGTAAATAGTCCATGAAGATGTAGAGGTCCATGAACAATTGCCAAAATGGTTTTAGAAAAAACAAAAAAAATCATGGAACAACACTTGAAAAACCATCTGCTAGCATCAAAATAGCAACATAAGTAAACAAAAATGAACTCTTCTTGGGTGCTGAAAAGATTGGAAATATTCCTTGACATGTCTTAGTTCAACAACAAAGAATTGTATAAAGAAGATTGATCTTTCAGTTTTCTTTCTTGTGCCTCACATTCTTAAAAACATCTATGCTGAAAACCAACTAAACTATAATGCTTGTGTCTTCAATTCAGCAAGCTGGCTCTGTTGTGGACCAGCCTCAGAGTCCGCTGAATTATGACTGCTCATTTCCTGCACAGGTGGTGCGTTGACAACAGTCACTGGCATGAGATGATTATCAGATAACCGACCCTTCATTTCCCGGTGCTCCTGACAGATAGCACACCAGTGCATGCAGCAATGGACCATGCAAGGGTCACATGGAGAGTTCTGCAAATACAATAAGTGAACAGTCATTACAGTAACCAAGATCATGAAGTGAAAGCTACAGACAAGCAGAGAAGGGACCAACTGCTGCTAGGAACAAAAAAATTACGTAGGCAAATAGCACAATCAATTCATAGAAAATAGAAGATAAAAATCCACCTTGAGATGATACTTCTTTTGTAGTGATTGCCTAAATATACCGGTGTAGATACCACACATCCACCAAGTAAAGACTAATCCTTCTCCAATCAAAACTGATGTTTCTGGGTCAATACCATGGAAAACTGCTGTAGCAACTGCAAGTGCAATACCACCTTCAACACAGAGAGCATGGCACATACAGGGAGTTGTCCATGGTGTATCGTCTCTAAGCCTCTCCACATTGCGCCCAAACAACACACAGGGACAGAACAGACCAGTCCGACCTATCATCCAAAAAGGTTACCAGTTAAATTATTAGACACTACCAATAGTAGGTAAAACTAAACAATCAGTGATTAACACATTATTTTTAATTTCTTGAAAAGAATATGGCATGCTTCATATGTCAGACTAGAGCAAGAAGTGGTCTTTGGAAAAGCTGACGACAAAGTACAAACCAACATTTACTATACATCTCCTCAACAACAAACTAGAATATAAATCTATGTGGATTATCCGTTCAGATTCTTTTTTTTTGTGTTTTTATTTCCTCATAAATTTTATTATACGTTCTTTTTTGGTTTCCATTACTTGAGCAAACGGAATTGTCTGAGGTGACTATGTCATGATCATGAATTTAATACGGCCTTCAAGGAAAAAGAACAATACAAGGAAGTAGCTGTAGCAAAGAAGTTAGATGGTAAGAGATAAAGCTAATAAATTTAAGCAATTATGGTATCTTAAATTCCTGGACACTCAGAACTGTGTGGAAGTTAAGCTTCTAGTGAATAATTTAAATCAAGTAAGAAAGAAATGACAAAAAAAAAAAGAACAGTTTTCATCAATTTACATAACAAACACAATCTCCATCCTATCATCCTGAAATTGTTTCAAAAGGAAAATAACTGCTTAATGCAACTTTCACTGGTTCTGATTTTTTAGTGTCATTTTGCCATTAAGTTTACTAATCATTTCAAATTGTCAGTTCACTGAACTCATAATGTCCTGATCAGTTTTTATTTTAAACGAGACAAAGGTTTGAAATTTTATCCAGACTGGTATGTACCGGGTGCTATTTACTAGTCAGGAACTAGCATGCAATTGGTTACCAAGCACTAACCCTCTTGAATTGGGTATATCATTTGGGTCAGACTCCTTGCTCAGACACCTATTTCAGTTTTTTTTTTCTTTTTTTATCTATGGTTAAAGCACCCTTTTCTTGATCTTTTCACTTTCTCTCTAGCACTCACCTCCCTCATGTCACTGCCAATGTCGGCTGACCTGCCCACTACCCCTGGCCAGACCGGTATTGGTCTGGCACCCGAGATTCATTCAAGATGCTATCCATCAGGAACTTGTTGAGTTATTAACTCAACTATACAATTTATGCTTATATTCTGTCGAGCAGCTGAACCATCAGAGGTGTCTAGTCAAATAGTAATGAGAAATTGAACTAGTGATGTTGAAATATGCCAAAAAGAAGAATACGATAGAGAAAGTTACCAACAAACTGAAATGGAATCATCATTTTATAATTTCAAAAGCATCAAGATGTTTTATATAAATACAGCTTCCACTTTTCAGTATGGAACATAAGCGAAGAGACAGATCTTACAGCTCTCAGGATCCTCAGCACATCCACAGATCCCGGTGGTCCAAGCTTCATCAGCAGGGGGTTCATAGCTTTCAGGCAGGGGTTGCCCGCACTCGGCACATCTGTGAACCCCCAACTGGTACAACACAAATAACAGAAATCTTACCAATTCGAGTCGAATTCAACAATCGATAAGAATCCAATAAGAACCCTAACCTGAGGAACGCGAACCGGCTGATTGAGCTCCCCAGGACGGATCTCCTCCAAAGGCACATCCTGATCCTTGGTAAGCTTCACGTACCTGGACGGGACCGTCACGTCGGACATCATCGCGGATCCAGCAGCGACCAAAACACGACCAATCCGAAGAAGAAAGAACGGAAAAGAAATCACCAAATCCCGACTAATCAAGGTCGCATTAGATGTAGAGTCCTGAAATCAGATCTCCCAGGACCGACGAGCGCCGATCCCAACGGAGATCAGATCTGAAAACGGGGAGGCCTTTGGTTTCACCGCCGACGAGGGTCGGATTGGGTGAGACGATACGTGCGTTGAAATGGACTGAGACGGTAACCGACGACGGCGTCGTTTGTGGTTTCTTGAAGGCGGGTGCGTAAGACATGGATCACGCGGAAAGTGTCTGAGGTTTTGGTCAACCCATGGCGTTCGGTTGTGTTTAGTTGAGACGCATACATAGACTTGAGACGAGTCGGTTAGTGCATCACATTTAATATAATACAAAATCTTTTTTAAAATAGAATCATTTTTACCTGTAAAAGAAAAATAGAATGCACGTTATTTTAGAAAAAAAATAGAATCATGGATTTATTGGTCAAACTAGTTGGACCTCAGTCTGAATAAAATACCAAATTAATTTCTTTTTTGATATATATATATATATATATTTATTTATTAACCGAAGAAATATATGTTGTTAAAACTTGTAAGAATCAATATGATATATTTAAACTTGGAAAGGATATATTTGCAAAGCCGACGGAGAGAGAAAAAGTGATGAAGTGGTGTAACGGAGAGAGTAGAGATATTCTTCCCCGTTCATTCTCTCTTCTCCCCCCCGTCTCCTTCTCCCTTCCTCTCTCGGCGCGGCGGCGATATCCGCTTCTATCGATCTAATTTCTCGAGATCCAGATCTGAGACCCTCAGGTTGGAAATCCCCTCGCTAGATCTGGGCTGCGATCCCTGCCCTAGCCCTAATTTCCGCTGATTTGCCTCTACGTTGCACTCTGATTTGGGTTTGTTATGCGTCGGTTTCGATCTCGCAGGCGGGTGCGTGGCAGCGATGCTGACCAAGTTCGAGACGAAGAGCAACCGGGTGAAGGGGCTGAGCTTCCACAGCAAGCGGCCCTGGATCCTTGCCAGCCTCCACAGCGGCGTTATCCAGCTATGGGACTACCGGATGGGCACACTCATCGACCGTTTCGATGAGCATGATGGCCCCGTCCGAGGCGTCCACTTTCACAAGTCCCAGCCTCTTTTCGTCTCTGGAGGTGATCGCTGTCCCGTCCTTAATGCTCAGTCTTCGTTTGATCTTAATTTGTTTGAGGTGCATCATGTGTCATTCATGGCATCAGATCTCTTTCGTGCTGGAAAAATTGCAAGTTGAATTTGCTTTTGGTAACCGGATCTCGTTGATTGCTTGAATTTGCTAATCGTTTCGTGCTGTTGATTTAATATTTGTAACCTTGTGCCCCTTTAAGATTGGAATCCGATCTTTGTTTGCCGTTGATTTTAGGTTTAATATCTTGAGGTTGTCATGGATGTCTTTCTTGGGATCTCTTCCTTTAACTTATAGTTCAGAGAGCGCAGTTTGTTTATTTGTTTCTTTCTGATGGCAATGTTGTATTTGCAGGAGATGACTATAAGATTAAGGTCTGGAATTATAAGACACACCGGTGCCTGTTCACCCTTCTTGGGCATCTTGATTACATCCGCACTGTTCAGTTCCACGATGAGCACCCATGGATCGTTAGTGCAAGTGATGATCAAACTATTAGGATTTGGAACTGGCAATCTCGAAACTGCATTTCGGTGTTGACCGGGCACAACCACTATGTCATGTGCGCCTCATTCCATCCGAAGGAGGACCTGATTGTGTCTGCATCTTTGGATCAGACGATCCGTGTTTGGGATATTAGTTCACTGAGGAAAAAGGTTTCCCCAGCTGATGATATCCTGCGTCTGGGACAGATGAATGCAGATCTGTTTGGAGGTGTTGATGCTGTTGTCAAATATGTCTTGGAAGGCCACGATCGTGGAGTCAACTGGGCATCTTTCCATCCGACCTTGCCGCTTATCGTCTCTGGTGCAGATGATCGGCAAGTGAAACTGTGGAGAATGAATGGTAACTTGAAAAACATCTTTCATTTGGCATCATTATGTTATTATTTAGAATATTAAAATTGCTACTTCCTTTGATCTCGAGAAAAACAAAATCCTAGAGATACAATTCGTAGAATCTGATCTAATATTACTTTCTTATGCTTTTGTATTGTATAATCTTGATATGAGGAGTACAGGAGTACTTTAGTCGATTTATTTCCTTATCAACTCATGTGTGAAATAAGGAAGATGTTGATATAATTTATTAAAAAGCATAAATGAAATTGTCTGCTAATGCGTGTCATATTGGAACAGATTCAAAGGCTTGGGAGGTGGACACACTGAGAGGCCATATGAATAATGTCTCTAGTGTCATGTTCCATGCAAAGCAGGACATCATTGTATCTAACTCAGAAGACAAAAGCATTCGCATTTGGGATGCGACAAAGCGAACGGGTATTCAAACATTTCGTCGTGAACATGACCGTTTCTGGATTCTCGCTGCACATCCAGAAATGAATCTTCTTGCAGCTGGCCATGATAGTGGCATGATTGTTTTCAAATTGGAGAGGGAACGACCTGCTTTCTCAGTCAGCGGAGATGCCCTATACTATGTAAAAGATCGTTTCTTGCGATTCTATGAGTTCTCGACCCAGAAAGATACTCAGGTGGTTCCTATAAGGAGACCTGGTTCTGTCAGCTTGAATCAGGGACCCAGAACACTGTCTTTTAACTCCACAGAGAATGCTGTCTTGATCTGTTCTGATGTCGATGGGGGGTCTTACGAGCTTTATATCGTTCCTAAGGACACTGCTGGAAGGGGTGACTATATGCAAGATGCAAAGAAGGGAGCTGGAGCATCAGCTGTTTTTGTAGCTCGTAATAGATTTGCTGTTCTCGACAAGACTAGCAATCAGGCCATAGTTAAGAACCTTAAAAATGAGATTGTGAAGAAGTGCCCTCTCCCAAGTGGTACAGATTCAATATTTTACGCAGGCACTGGTAACTTGTTGTGCAGGGCTGAGGACAAGGTGGCTATTTTTGATCTCCAACAGAGGATTGTCCTTGGAGAACTTCAAATTCCACCTGTTAAATACGTTGTTTGGTCAAGTGACATGGAATCTATTGCTTTGCTGGGTAAACATGCTATAGTAATTGCTAATAAGAAACTTGTACACCGTTGTACATTGCATGAGACTATCCGTGTGAAAAGTGGTGCCTGGGATGACAATGGTGTCTTCATCTATACAACGTTAAATCATATCAAGTATTGCCTTCCTAATGGGGACAGTGGAATTATAAAGACACTTGATGTTCCTATTTACATAACCAGGGTTTCTGGAAGAACTATCTATTGCTTGGATCGTGATGGGAAGAACTGTGTGATATCAATTGATTCAACAGAGTATATCTTCAAGCTCTCTCTGTTTCGGAAAAGATATGATCATGTAATGAGTATGATCAGGAACTCTCAGCTATGCGGACAAGCTGTCATTGCATACCTACAACAGAAAGGTTTTCCTGAAGTAGCACTCCATTTCGTGAAAGATGAAAAGACTAGATTCAACCTGGCTCTTGAGAGTGGTAACATCGAAATAGCTGTTGCTTCAGCAAATGTGATTGATGATAAGGACCATTGGTATCGGTTGGGTGTTGAGGCACTTCGGCAAGGAAACACAAGTATTGTGGAATATGCATATCAGAGGACAAAGAACTTTGAGAGGCTATCTTTCCTTTATCTTGTTACTGGTAACAAGGAGAAGCTGTCCAAAATGCTCAAAATATCTGAATTGAAGAATGATATCATGGGCCAGTTTCATAATGCCATGTATCTTGGTGACATTCAGGAACGTGTCAAGATTTTGGAAAATGCTGGTCATCTGCCTCTTGCATATGTTACAGCTGTCACTCATGGATTAAAGGAAGTTGCTGACAGGCTCACTGCTGAATTGGGAGAAAATATTCCCTCTTTACCCAAAGGAAAAGTGTGTTCTCTTCTGATGCCACCGGCATCACTCGTGTGCCGTGGGGATTGGCCTTTACTAAAGGTAATGAGAGGTATTTTTGACAATGGGCTAGACGTTGGGAGGGCAGGAAATGAGGAAGAGGAGGAAGCTACTGGTGCTGAATGGGGTGATGAGGAATTGGACATTGTTGAAATGGAGGGCATGCTGCAAAATGCTGATATAGTAGCAGAACTTGAAGATGGGGTAGTAAATGAAGATAGTGAGGAGGGTGGATGGGACCTTGAGGATTTGGAATTACCACCAGATGCAGATACACCAAAAGCTGCTGGAAATGTTCGCACTTCATTATTTGTTGCTCCTACACCTGGCATGCCTGTTAGCCAAATCTGGATTCAGAAGTCTTCCCTTGCAGGAGAGCATGTGGCAGCTGGGAATTTTGACACTGCCATGCGCTTGCTTAGACGACAGTTGGGTATAAAGAACTTTGCTCCTATGAAGCCATTGTTCATGGATCTTCTTGTGGGAAGTCATACCTATATGCATGCCTTTGCCTCAGCCCCAGCTATATCAATTGCTGTTGAGAAAGGTTGGAGTGAGGCTTCCAGTCCTAATGTGAGGGCCCTTCCAGCACTTGTATTCAACTTTTCACAGATGGATGAGAAGCTCAAGGCAGCTTATCGAGCCACAACAGAGGGAAAGTTTCCAGAAGCTTTACGCCAGTTTCTCAACATCTTGCATACCATCCCACTTATCGTAGTAGACTCAAGGAGGGAAGTTGATGAAGTGAAGGAGCTGATTGAGATAGCTAGAGAGTATGTTCTGGGCTTGAAAATGGAGGTCAAAAGAAAGGAAATCAAGGACAATGCAGTTCGACAGCAGGAGCTGGCAGCCTATTTCACCAACTGTAAGCTTCAGAATATCCATATGAGGCTTGTCCTCATTAATGCTATGACTATCTGCTATAAGGGAGGGAACTATGCAACAGCAGCAAATTTTGCCAGGATGCTTCTGGAGAATAGCCCCACTGAAATCCAAGCAAAGAAGGCTAGGCAGGTGCTGCAACATGCTGGTGATAAACAGGATGCTAACCAGCTCAATTATGATTACAGGAATCCTTTTGTAGTTTGTGGGACAACTTATGTTCCAATCTATCGTGGGCAGAAGGATGTTTCCTGCCCTTATTGTGGGGCTCGGTTTGTGCCAGCCATTGAGGGGCAGCTTTGTTCTGTTTGTGAGCTTGCAATGGTGGGTGCAGATGCCTCAGGTCTACGTTGCTCTCCTACTCAAGCAAAATAATTGGAAACAGGTACTTTGTTACATCCAGCATGTCCTTTTCTGCATTTTGCTTGAGTCTATCATGTTTTCTCTTGCTTAGTATGCACTGAATGAATGAAAGTTAAAGCAAATAATATGGTAGTTGCTTTTGAGCATTTAACTCCGCTCTTTTGGCCATTAGGTGGATTTATAGTGTATGGCTTTGAATTTTTCTTGCATATTGTTTTGAGAAAAAGGAGGAGGTCCTTTTGTTCCAGAGATGTGATATTGGTTCATTTGCTTATGTACTTGGTTAAGGGTGCATATGGTTCTTTTGGAGTTGGTCATTTTTATATGTCAAGTCTTTATTTGACTTTATTGTATATCTATTTTTTTTGTATTCCTATTATTGAATCTCAAAATATTTTGCTTTTGATGTTTCCCATGGCCCAAAACGTTTACTTTGTTTTTTTCCTCCACTTATTTGAATATAATTTGTTAGACCTTTTTCTAATTTGGACCTTTTCTTATAACATGGGCTGGTACAAACTCTCATTTGAAGTTTCATTGTTATGTATGAGGCACCAAACTTATATTTATGCTCAACTCAAGAACCAACTCGAGCCTTGTCTCTATTATTTAACTTAGTATCTGAGCCAAGTTGCTCTGTGATGGTACCGGTTGGTACCATCAAGAGAGAGAGAGAGAGAGAGAGCATGGAGGACTCATATCTGTTGGAGGAGATGGTGGAAACATAGCTGGGATGAGGAGGTGGAAGATGAGGTTTTTTTTTTCGGGTGGTGGTGGTGGTGGGGAGAGCATAATAAAAAAAGAGGAAGAGGGAAGAAGAAAAAAAACAGAAGACTCATGACAGTTGTCAAAAACAAAAAAAGAAACAACCTTCCTTTTGGTACAGTTTGGTACTAATCTATTTTACCACCTTGTAAGGTCTGTATAGCGAACATATAGGATGGTTTAGCTAACGATGGATTAAACCAGATGAAATCGCTTGATCTGTTTATTGGTTAGTTGTTAGATTCATAAATATTGACATGTACTAGTCAGTACGGACAATATTTTGATCTATGTTTAAAGTATTGACATGGATTGAGTTACCAAGACATAGAATAATATGATTACTTCTGTGGAAATTTTGCCTTGCGTGCTTAGATGAATATTAGAGTATGCTCAAAGAAGATTTGGTAGGAGTGATATAAAAGGTTATGATGATGCTTGGTTTATCTGATGAGATTTCTCTCAATATAATTCAATCACGGAAAGAATTCATGTGTCTTGAGTAACTGGGACAAGCAAGTTGATTTTAGAACTCATGAGCCTGTTCTAGTGAGGTCCTAGAAACTGTTGAGATTTTCCTTGCAAGGATTGGATATTTGTGCCCTTCACTGATGATGCAACCTGGGTTTAGCTTGAGTTTAATTAGTTTCTAGATCGAGTCAAATGTGTTTTCTTGTTATGTTGTTTTGTAACTTGGTTTAATCTTTTAGGTGAGTAATACTGAATGTTGTTTATATATGTTATTCAATTTAATAAGGTTAGGTTATGTAAGTAATTTTGGTTGATTTCGAGTTGTTTAAGTCAATTTAGTGTTTTACTTAAATTGTCTTTGATTGTGCTAGTTGAGGTATGGCAGGAGTTGATTCTTGTGTCAAGTGTTAGCAAGAATCAGCCTATTTGGGTATCTTCAAGTTGTTAGATGGGAAAGAATCACTTGTTAAAGTAAGTTCCAACCAATATTGGAAATCTGTATGATTCATCCTGAAGAGATGCATGGCAGATGTTCTAGGGAATGCATGGAAAACTTTTTTATCTTTGGGAAAGACCTTTTAAGTGGTTTTATGTCAACACATAAATACTAAAATGTCCTTATCTGAAAACAGTGATTGTGTGATTTTGATTGCATGATTTTATTTTATGAATGATTCAGGGTTTTCTTCAAGGTAAATGTATATAGTATGTTTTTCTTTTCGCTCTTGTTGGTTTCTTCTGGCTTCTGATCTTCCTCCTGCAATGATTTCCCTACTGTCTTCTCCTTTATTTGCCACACTATGCTACTTGCATACTACAAATCCCAAAAATGTTGAAAATAAGACGATGCCCTGAGTGAACCAATAGTTGTATGAGTCAGGATTCTCTACATATATCAACTGCATGCTAGAATAAAGACATGTATAACTTTTGAATCTATTTTACCGAGGTAATGCTGCATAATAAGGTTGATGATTATTGGTTGGAAATCTTTGGGTAGCTGTATTTTGTTTCATAGTTTTAAGTTCAAAAGGCTAGTGTTTCGATGAAAGAATCAATTCAGTTATCTTTTACGACATCAACATAAAATGATTATCTTCATGACTACAAGATAGTAGGCAAGCATACCTCGAGATTGTCAATTCTACAGTCATGATTAGAAAAAAGAAAATTCCATTAACTTATACGACATTAACTTAAAACAGTTCACCATATTTTGTGCCACAGTAGGATTGTACAGCAGCAATAAGCCAATAACACCGTATATCACAAGGATTAAAATTTCCACGATATAGTATTGAACAAATTTAAGGATGCAAGAACTCAATTGCATGCATACTTGAGAGATTGCACACACACATGACAGAAGGGCAAAATCATTTGTAAAACTAAAATTAGATAAAGAGTTTGGGAAAGTTAATGTTAGTCTGATCGGTAGACTATATCAGATCTCTTTTCTTGCTTCTGAGGAAACCTCCCAGTAGCTTTACTTTTGGTGAGATTTTTTACAATTCCGATTGTAAAAGATGCAATGTATGCATTAAAAACATCTTCCAGTTAAATGAAAACTTTTCAAACCCAATCATATATTCATGTCTCTAGTCTACTACCATGTATGGTTTGACCTTCCATGTAGCATCTTCGTGCCAGTCAGTATTTTTTTAACTAATATGATTATAACAAAGATTAACTAATATATATATATATATATATATATATATATATATATATATATATATATATATATATATATGCAGTGCTTCACACCCACTGTCCAACACCCCTTGTATTTTGATGACATATTAGATGAGGACATTATATATATCTTTCAGTCACAATTGATAATATGGTGCTCCCTAGGTAATTTGACCACAAGAAAGTGGTTGAAGTTGATATGCTCATTTGACCACATCCAATGGGTGAGTCTTTGACAATGTGTTCGTCAAAGTGCGTGTCAAAAATCGTTGCTCTGGCTGTCGAACATATATTGAGATAAAGGGTGTGATTTGTTCATCCTACATTTCTAATTGTCCTGGGTGTCTCCTCCACACTATGTCTTGGAATTCAACATGTTGAAGGACTTGTCCCTTTGAAGGGCCTTGGCCAGTAACTACAGCGGCTGCTTTACCGCTCTTGATGTATGCATTTTGCTTATGACTGATCAACATGATAAACATGTGAAGCTTGTTTTGATGTGTCTGCTTGATTTTTTCTTTATATGTGCTTCAGGTATAACTACCAGCTGTGACTTTCACATCCGTTCATTATTGAATCGATACTCATTGGTCAGAGGCGCATCCTGGCTTCCATTTAGTTTCTCTAGCCATAGGTCTTGCTTAAAAGAGTGTCTGCGGTTTCAGCCATGAGCATCTATAGCTTCGGCATTTTACTTTGGTTACAGCAAAAGTTGGATTCTTTTTCATCGAGGCACTGGAGCTGGCGTTTTTTCCCCTGAGCGTAAAGTTTGGAGCCGCATTGGCATTTGCTTCGAATGTCATTGATCAACTGTTGGGTGCATGGGAGAGTCTTCTAGCTGCCATCTTCAAAAATCCGGTCACATATTCAGGGTAAGTTGTGCCCTGGCAACACCTTTTTGCTTCCTTTTTATCTTTCTTTGTTCTTTTGAAAGAGGACTCCCAGTTATTGATCCTTGTTATTGTCCATGAGATAACGGTGGTTGTTGGCACAGTATCTCAATCTTGAGAATATTTTTTGATAAGAATATTTAGAGTATTTGATGAGTGTTTTGACCAGTTGCATCCTACACTTTTCAGGCCTGAATTACACATGTATAAGCTAATATAGCAGGCTGACTACAACCAAATTCTTGGTGAATTGTACTTCTTATAACAAAAATATTATCCATTTTCTTCTACTCATGGATTGAAATTGTTACACACGTAAGTATGGGTTTCGCCTGTGGATGCAGTACACGTGGAAGAAACTGTTCAGTTTTTAATGCTTAACTAATAACTAGTCTTTCACATTTTTCCTTCTTTTTTTATACATATATCCTTAATGCTTAATCATGTGGGAAAGAGATCATTTTTCCGATTGTGCGTGTTTCTCTGTCAGGCATATATCGAATATTTTACCTAAGTTCGTTGCATGGTCCTCAGACTTCTGACAATATTATATATCTCAGCTACGAAGATTAATTGCTTGAACGCAGTCGTCATTCTTCAGCCCAGAAAAGATTGACAGCAACGTACAGACAGCTTACTGTGTGGTGGGCATTTCGTTGTTCTCTGCATCGAGTGGCCGTCAAATGGAGATGTAGCTGTGACAACAGACTCGAATTTTTTTTGGTTGAGGTAGGCGTTTTACACATCTATATCCTTTCAAATTTTGGTAATATTACATCCCCCACCCTTCCCCTCCAAATTGTATTATAACATATATATTTTCCTTCAAATATTGAAATATTCTGTTTTGAATATTTAAATCCTTCAACCTTAATTCGTAATAGAGCCTAAAAATAAAGGCTCCTTAACCTTGTTGGTTGATCAAACTTGACATGTCAAAACGCTTGTAGTCTCTCGAGGAATCGATAGCAAGGGCTACTATCCGGTACAAAAGCATCCTGCAAACAACATATTAATCCTTCTCTCTTTTGCAATCAACATATAATCTTACTCTTTAATCATCATCATTGGTATTCCATACTCCTAATATAGTGTTTTGAAAGAGGACAATTACTTCCAGCTGTACGCTTTACTGTAGAACGCTTAGCTCTTCACTGCTCATTAATTATTAGACGCATGTAATTTAGTTACCGAAGTAGCACCGTAAGAGAATAATGAAAACGAACACATTCATTAAAGACAAAAGATTTCTTAGAACTTCCTATATAACAAACAGTAGAATTGTATCGGTGCAGGCAAGCAGACTCCAAGAATAAAAATTGACAATGCTTTACCCGGTGGGAGGATGCACAGCTCACCACACATTGGATCTTGTTTACTAGCCCTGATCCTGGGAAACACCCAGCTATTGAAATTAATTTATGATCTAAAAGTTAATTGACAGAACAACAACCTAATTTTCTTGCACATGACCAACCCAGAAGCAGTATAAATGATCAGTTGGGGACACATAAACTTCATTCAGCTAGCTAACTGTTCATCATCATCATCATCATCATCATCATCATCATCATCATCTCAGATGTAACAATAGTTGTGTAGAAGATCACCAGTGAAAGGTCTCATTACTGCCAATCCGCGTGACAGAATTTGAAACCATAGTAGACCTGTAATTCGGTGTTCATTGGTGGTTTTTTAAACCCTGCTCCATGTTCATGCATCAGTTTCTTCTTTTTCAAAACAAGAAAAAGAAACGATTTTGAGCGTGGCTTTGAAGTTGATATTTTAACATTAAGTTCTTCACTAATCCAGCTAGTCTTGATTCATTACAGCTTACCATGTCAGAACACAAGGGAGGGTGATCTAATTATTAGCTAGGTTGTCCTTTGGGTTAACTTTTCATTGATATCACTTTCAGGATTCATGAAAATAGTTGCTAGACAAATGTTAAATCACAACTAGAATCAAATTTCAGTAGCAGTTGAAATGCTGCTTTGTTTTTTAAAATGCAATGTTCTTTATCGTTTCTAGTAGCTTCAGAGAGATACTGAAATTTTGTTCATCATCTACAAATTTCACTATCTTTTCAAGTAGTTTCAGAAAGACATACTGAACTTTTGTTCATTATCTACAAATTTCACTCGTCCTGTGTATAGAATTCCCTTCTCATAATTCGTATTCTAACCAAATCTCACTCGTTCTGTACACAAAGTTGAACTCAAATGAAATTTCTCAGGCATTTTGCATGATTAATTAACATAAATAAATAAAATTTACAACAATTTTCTGTTCCAGCTTAGTAGATAAACAAGATGATGATAGTTGAAGTATTTTAACCTTTACTGAAACAGTATCATAAGTAGAAAATGTACTAATGAAAAAAAAGGCATTGATTGGCATTAAGATAGCCAGTTTCAAATACAAAAAAGTGCCGGAAGAAAAATGCTCAAAACCAACCACCAACCGTATGAGATTAGTTAACGATGAGATGCAACTTGAAAAATCACTAGCAAGACATCGTAAACTGCTCCAAGTTTAAAAAGCACATTTGGGCATTCATCAACTACTTATAGTAATGAAAAGAACAGGAATATATTGGGAAGATATTGCTCTGATGTCTATTAAGTGGCAGAGTTACATTATTGCTCAAATTTTAGAGACATATTCGTATATACAAGCCCTAACTCTCAGGTGGAAACCCAAAAAAAAAAAGTTACAAATTAATAATGATTGACCAAAAACCAGTTAATTCAACAGAAAAGAAAATATATCATTGAGAGGGAGCAATATAGTCAAAGAAGGAAAACAAGCATACACCTATAGTGTATAATAGAAAAACAAGGACTTCACTTTTTAGTTTCAGATGCTTGAAGCTTGCTTATTACTTTCAGATAGATAAAACTTAAAAGCGAGATATTAGACTGTAAATATGAATTTGAGCAGCCAAGTATTGTTACAACAGCCAGTATCAAGCCACAGCCAGATGAAACGGGAGAAATCCCAAGACGAACAAGCTGGTATCCGAGCCAGGTTGGATAGATGAACCTGCTTCAAAGCGACTACTGCATCTATCTAGAGCCTATCTTCCTGCCCCAGTGCTACACCAAAGCATGGGCCTCATTGTGTAAAGGGCCTTAGTCCTAGCACAACAGGAAAGAAAGAAGGTACCACGAAAACAATGTTGGCAGCTGCTGACTTGAAACGAATGGTAAGAGATGTGTGCAACGGCTAGGAATAACACAATCTCTTTTGATAGACGAAATGCTTGAATAGGTTTCTTCCCTCCCGACAGACAGAATCAAAGGTTACTAGAGCACCATACCATTCATCTCTAGAGAAAGAGGACCTATAACCCAATGAAGCTCCTGCCCAATACATTATCAGAGCAATTCATCGACTGGCGTAGCCACACCCCGTCTGTTCCCTGTATCACCAAATTATTTTTGACTCGCGATACAGTTTATCCATTGACAACATCTAATGAACTAGTTAGTCACCTATGTCATAACAATTCTTTAATTAAGCCAGTCGAATGGGCCTCCCTCTCAAGACTTAATTTTTACTCGAATCAAAGCAATTAGCAACCAAACATTTTGACAATGACATAGTAGAGACTGGAACCAACCATACTGACAAGCAAATTTTCCAGCTAGAAATTGCTATTCTAACTAAAATCAGATACAAAGTACACAAAAACCTCTAAATGCACCAACGAAAGGAAAAAACAAAAATATCGAAACATCATTAATGGTATACTCGCCAGTAATTTCCTCATTCCACTGTAACGGGATGACCATTGGCAGCAGAGAAGAGCTCCCGATGATCCCTATATCAGCCCTTTAGTCCTGTATTCCAGCGCCGGAATCATCAGTTGCAATCTTAGATAAGCAAAAGACAAACAAAAAGAGAAAAAAAAAAAGACACAATCCATGCGAAATCAAGAACAGAGACAGCCAAGTTCACGAAAAGAAATCAAAACCACACCTACGTCTGTTTGGAGTAGGTCGAGGATGACGAAGGAACGCGCTTGATGCAGAACATCATGTACCCGAGCGGGAGTACCACGCCGACCATCATAATCGCCGCCCCAATCAGATACCGCAGCGGCCCCGGCGGCTCCACCTCCATCAATCTCGATCTCAATCTTCTCCTTACCTACAGAATCCCTACCTCATCAGATCAGATCCATAACGGTGCAAGTCCGGAAAACCCTGATTCAAACTTATAAACATGGATTCACCTCGAATGGTACCGTTGGATGATCGTCCCTCTCTGAGAACAATGGCGACGAGATCGGGACGAAGGTCGACTTGGAGAGACAGAAGGCGGAGATTGGATCGACGCAGAAGGTATCCTCAGATCACGATCACCTGCCCGGTTATCAACTACGCCGGTTCGGCTGTGTCCAACCCTCCGGTTCAATAGATGACAATCTCAAGAATTAAATCGACGTGATACCGAACGTCCAATTTCCTACCGGTCATCGAACCCTCACATTGGAAAAATAAGGGACCCACCTAGCGTTCTTCCGGTCCCTCACATTGGCGGCTACATCTCCGCTGTAATATTCGCATCTTCTTATTGGATCAGGAAGTAGGTTCCACATTTAGGTGGGCCCCTCCCTACCTCACGCGGTAGGATTCTGTGGTACTCGTTCGGGTGGGAAAAGGTTGTTTTGGAGGCAATAATCCCTTCCACACCGAACCATTTGACGCGGCGGCTACCCCGAAGAGAAGAAGAAGCGAGCGTGGTCGTCTTGGATCTGATGGCGAGGAGAGCGATCTCCACGATCACCGGAGGCGCCACCCGCTCCGTCCTCGGCATCCACGTCTTCCACTGCCCGGTGAGTGGGCTTCAATTGGAGGTCTTCTTTAATCCTTTTCTGGGTTGAGATTGGAGGTGTCGGTGGGCAGGATGTGGTGGGGATCGTCGCCAAGCTCTCGGAGTGCATTGCATCGCGAGGTGGAAACATTCGCAGCGTGGATGTCTTTGTCCCTGAGAATAGGCAGGACTTTTATTCCAGGAGGTGGGGTTTTGTCTTTGTTTTTTGGTTTGTTCTTCCTCCTGTTTCATTTGGTTCCTACATTGTTATGTGAGAATGATGCGGAAAAGTGAGGGAAACGAGAGATACATACAAGAGAGACGAGATATAGGGGAGGAGAGCAAATCCTGTCATCCCATAGACACACAGGAATAGAGAGCTAATCCTATCATCCCATAAACTAACTACAAAAGATAACTTGAGAACTCTCATAAAACTACTCTTATAGGAAAATAAATAACGTAATCTATGCTATGCCCGTATTAAGTTTTTTGGATAACTGATTAGACCCTAAGTAGGACCCTTGAAACCCTTTATAAATATCAATAAATTAATATGGAATAATATGAAAATATCACCAAAGAATTCCTTATTTGATGTGTAGTGTAGGTGTTTGCTCAAATTAATATTTTCATACTATTCCACATTAATTTATTGATGTGAAGTGTTGTAGGTGTTTGCTCAAATTATATATAATGTGAAATGATTTTGGTTCTTGATTGATCCAAATCACTTCTAGCTCTATTGTAACAAAAATATTCCCCTTTATGTCGAACGGACTCATATCAATAATTATGACCTGTATACAGACAATTCCTCACTATCTTTTTAATTGATTTTACTCTCATCTTCTGGAGTGTCTAGCAAGCTTAGGCTGCTTCTATAAGGGAAACACCCACTAAGTTGACCTTGTTTGTTGATTGAGCAACATAGCTTGAATCGATAGATCCAGTTGATCTGTTGGAATCTTTTCCAAGTGCAGTTGAACTTCTACAAAAATTGTACCAAGTATCCATGAAAGTGTCCAAGTTGGCATGGTGTGATAGTTAAAGCCAAAAAACCCTGCATCTTGCCATGCCCTGGTTATGGCCAACCCCCTTTAGGCTCTTCTCTCCTCTTGTAATAAGGATGATGAGTCTAAGACAAGCTTGGCCATGAGTATGTGTTTGTAGTCAAGTTGATCAAATTGTGTCTCCGGATTGGTCAGAGTCAAATATGAAGATCGAGCCATGGTGGCATTGTTTAAACTACTTAGTAACTTAAGAAGCTCAATTTAAATCACCAAAAATAATTCGACTATAGTGGTTGATACTGGAATATGTCTAATAAAGGCCTCAGCTGATCTGTCCCAATGAAAATAAACTTTTCCTATTATTTTAAGATCTCTAATCCGTCTCCTATTATGATCCTGTTCTAGGAAAGAAACATATATGAATATGATATAGATTGTTGAATTTTAAAAATGGAAACTTATTTTTTTCGTCTACTTGGTATCTATGAACGACAATGTGTTGCTACTTTATTTTTTTCTTTATAGATACAACAATGAAATCCTTAGATAAGCATGTTAGCCAACTTGGTGTAACTTTTAGATGCTTACCTTTTCTGTGATTTTTGTCTGTTTCTGCAAAGAGTGATGAACCTTCTGTGTTGAAATTATTCTGATGATGATGCCTTTTTCCTTGATGAGACTTCACCTGAATTTAGGTTAATAAAAAAAATTTTGAGCACACTTTCTGTAAATTGTTAGTGTTCTTGCCATTGTTAACTAAAAGCTGCCTTCTACATTGTGACTTTTAAGATTATCTCTTATCTGATGTTATCATGCATTTAGAAGCCATCCTAGGTCTGTAACATTATTTGTTGTTTCTGCTGTTGCTATTCCTTTTAACTAAACCGCAGAGTTCAGCACTCATGGATGTATCCTCTCTGAAGCTAACTTTTCCTAGTTGTCCTCAGTGTATTACCAAGCCAAGGTTTTAAAGAAGCAAACATTTTGAACTCGTTCATGAGTAAATGTATTTATACTATCTTGAGTTACATGCACATTACAACCAATTGAAATGATTCTAAGAATAGACGGTGGTTATCACGTGGCAGTGAATTTGTATTTGATCCTACTCATTGGCCTCGGGATGTGGTGGACAATGACTTCATCAAATTATCAAAGTTATTCAGTGCAGAAAAATCTATTGTACGAGTCCCTGATCTAGATCCTAAATATAAGATTGTGATTCTTGCTTCAAAGCAGGTTTGTTCTGCTATACTGTTGACTCTTTTTGCTTAAGCATGCATCATTACTAGTGTTTATCAATTAAGCCTCAAAATGTTTGTATTGGTTTAGTTATGGCACATTATAAGCAAATATCTGTCCTTCTGGACTCAATCATATGTATTAAACTTTTAACTGTGATTTAGTTTGTAATTCATAAATAAAAAATGAACGACTATCTATTTTGCATATCCATTTTGTCAATGCAAGAATTTGTTTCTGTAGGAACATTGTTTGGTGGACTTGTTATATAAATGGCAGGAGGGTAGACTACCTGTGGATATCAGCTGTGTGATAAGGTGAGACATCTTGCGACTCTTTTTTTATTCAAATAATTTCTTCTCAAGATTTAAACTGAAGCTTCCAAATATACTGAACAGCAATCATCAAAGAGCTCCAAATACACATGTTATTCGTTTTCTTGAAAGACATGGAATTCCATATCATTACTTGCCAACAAGTGTAGGAAATAAAAGAGAAGCAGAGATCCTGGAGTTGGTTGAAGATACGGATTTTCTTGTACTTGCAAGATATATGCAGGTTTGCCCTTCAATTTTGTCATTCTTCCAAACTTGTTTTTAGATCTTTAGGTCTTTTTTATTGTTATTAAGCACTTGATTGTAGAAACATGAACTTGCATTCTGCAGTTTCCTAGAACATTGGCTAATGTTGATTCAAGCTCATGAGCAATTGATTCTAGTTCCACGACTAAATAAAGGGAAAAATGTGATGTCTAAAGACATGGAAAAGATTGATATTGTTGTTGTTAGCTTCTCTTTTGAGGAAGGTATTTCTCTTACATGAACAGAAAAGTGATAAGTGAACTGTGAGTAATAAATATATTTTAAAAGGTATTTCTCAATTATGATATCTGTTATCTGAATAGATTCTTATATTTATTGACACTGTCTTCCTGCATGTGTCATCTATTTCATAAATTTTACTATGGCAACTTGAATGCCAATTGGAGTCCGAATTTCTTATTATATTATAACAACATGCAGATACTGTCTGGAAGGTTTTTGGAGAGTTATGGTAAAGATATAATTAACATCCATCATGGCCTTCTTCCATCATTTAAGGGTGGGAGTCCTTCCAAACAGGTCTTTGTTTAAATTTTTTATTTATTTGTTGGAACTATAACAACTTTCTTTGCTCATCTCTTGAATAAGAGTTAAGTCAGATCTGGTATATAAATCCAGGCTTTTGATGCTGGGGTAAAATTGATTGGTGCAACAAGTCATTTTGTAACTCAAGAGCTGGATGCTGGTCCAATTATTGAACAAATGGTGATATTCTTATGCTCAATTATTAAAGATTTTCTTTTATGCATGCCTGAATTTTGATACTTACCTTGTCAAATTATTGATCATTGATATTAGGATAATCCATTTTATGACAATCTTGGCTTCATATTGTATGTACTTGCTTGGTTCGATATCACACTAGTGTTTGACTTTATGTCATTTACACATGGAAATTAACAAATGAAAGGTACTGTAAAATGTAAATAGAGTTAAGGCTAGTGTTTTTATTCATTGTCAACCCAATCCAAATTCATACGGATTGGTCTCGTAGGCAGAACCAAAATCTTGGCAAGTACCTAGCTTACAGTATAATGATCAAACTAGTGAGGACAGGCTAATAATGCCAATACCTACCATATGGTCTCGACTCATGTCCTCATCTTTCTCCCACATATGGTTTCTTAATATCCATTTTGATATTTTACTGCTGTTTTACATTTAATTACTTTCCATGATATTCCAGTTATGATCAAATTCACAAAACAAATTAAGAAAATAGCATATTTGTATAATGTATATTTTGACAACAAATTGAGAAATCTGTAAACAAAATGCAGGAACATGCACATCTGAATATATTGAATCACACACAAAATTACCCAAACTTAGGTGACCATGATAACCCTTTTTACAACATCATCTTTGTGAGAACCGAGAACCACACAGGACAAAAGAGGTTGGCATTCTTTAAGTTGTGTGGAAGACAATACTTGTTGCATTTGAATTTGAATTTTGTCACCTGCAAGTATGCTGTCTTAATGAACTAAAAAAAGTCCATGTAAAGTTTAGTTGCTAATTCAATGGTGTAATATACAAGTGAGATTACAGCATGGCTCTTCCTTGACAAAGACAACATGGCAGTATCATGTCCCATGGTTGTAAAACTGGGATCAACATAAGCATCAAAATGAACTAATAAAACCTGGAGAAATGTTGGGGCTTTTAAATTTGATACTAAACAAAGAGTCGACAGTTGTGTATCTAGGTCCTCAAAATTTTATTTTCTTGATTTAGACAATTGTACAGTCTCTATAACAAAGACCTTTGCAAGTAATTGGATGGTTTATAGTCTAAGTTGTCATGCTTTGTGTTCTGGTGTTAACTCAAAAGATTTGAATTTTGCAGTTATTCCAGTCATCTTAGTTTCTGGTGTTAACTGCAATTGATTGTTTGTTGCTTAGTAACATATGATACCATGAACAATATAACTAAGATTCGGAAAACCGGTTGAACAGGTAGATACTGACCAGTATATACCGGTCCGACCTGATTCTGGCAAATTTGTTGGGTCCAATTGAAACAGGTTTTGTATTCTTTTTCATTTTCTGGGCAAGCCGAAACAACTGTTGCTAGTTGTTTGGTTTTGGGTATCAACAGATGGTAAAAAATAAAATCAAAATAAAATCTGTTGACTTTTCCATCGCAACCTCTGTATTCTCTCTCTCTTTCTTTGCTCGGCTATGACCGTTGCCACAGCAACCTTCGCAATCACTACCTTGACATCCTCCTAGTCCCATTGCCACATCTGTCACCTCCTGATATTGTCATTGCTGTAGATTCCTACAGTAAGCAAAGTTGTCACCTCTGCATCCTCTCCCATTTCCTCCCGCTCTTCTTCCTCCTTGTCCTCTCCTCTTCTCTACCTCTTATTCTTTGGTCTATGCCAATCAGGATGTTAGCATACCACATGTCGGTGTACTGATATGTACCAGAGCCAGACCAACATGGTTCTTGGATCAAAACTTGAAACCTTGACTGTAATAATAGATACATTTGATGATATTTTGCTCTTGGCTTTTGCAGCTACAGTACATTAGATAAGTCAACTGCTTCTCTCATGCTTCTGACTTCTAGTCTGAATACTTCTATAAACATGGTGCAGGTTGAGAGAGTTTCTCACAGGGATACCTTGCAAAGTTTTGTGCAGAAATCAGAGAATCTCGAAAAGCAATGTCTCCTGCAATCAATCAAATCGTATTGTGAACTTCGGGTGCTACCGTATCAAGAGAACAAGACTCTTGTATTCTGAAATGGTCCATTTTTAAGTGTTGCAAATTTTAATTATCTCTGTCATCCAAAAATTTAGGATTATGTTATTGGCATACCTTTGTTCTTATTTTCGAGGTCAATTTAAAATGCTTTACCATCTTTATCTCAATGAACGAACAGACTTGCACAACCATTAATCATACCTTGATCCTGAGGCTGAGAAGAAAGGTCAACTCACTGTACTTCCTAAACCTTTCAACCTCATTGGATCCACTTTCAATTGCCAGATACAGAAGCAAAACATCATTGATTTTGCAGCTCTAATTGTTCTAAGTGAAAATGGATGCAAATTAGATAAACGAACTGAAATGCTTCCTGCAGATGATACTTGTTTAGTAGAAAGATATTGAAGCAAATACGAGGATAATAAAAAAAATTATCGAAAATGTTTAAGGAATATCCTCCAATATTTTGATATCTTGTATAAGTGAAATCGATCCAAGAACTACATAGATTTGAAAGATCTCACATAACAAGATTTCTAATAGATCGAGAATTATTTCTGTAGTCATATCTGGCTCCAACCGATCGAATACGACCATGTTAGTACTGAAATTATCGATGTATAATCTTTATTGAATTGACGTTTTCATTGATGATCAGTGGACTATTGAGCTCATCTCAACTGCACGAGCAAACAGGCATCAACGCCGGCCTCGACCTTTTGTGATCACTAATGCCGTTCATAACTTTGGCGCTCAGCTTTGGTGACCTTTTGTGATCACTAATGCCGTTCATAACTCGGATTCATTGGATTCATTATATGTTACCTTGTCAAGTACCTTTAGTATTTCGGTCTCTACACTTTAAAAAATTATATTGATATCCTTATAGTTATGAACGTAAAATATCTAAATCTATTTATCCTGACACCATCGTTTTTACTAATAAAAATATGAAAACAAAAATAAAAAATAATTTTAACGTTCTAATTGATAGTGATGGACAACAGCACCACTGAAAGCCATGGGTGACTTTTGTGGATGAGGAGAACGATGACAAGAGATGAGAGGCGCTCTGTATCTACGTCAGTGTCGGCACAATTGTCGAGCAGCGAAATGATCGTCGATGCAAATATCGAATGACGTCGCTATGCATATGTACCGATGTCGATGTAGTTACCAAGCGACATCACACAACATCTACATCGACAATCCTTTCGTTACTTGGTAACTATGTCGATGCTGACGTAGATGAAGCGCAACTCTCATATCTCGTCATTGCTCTCATTGTCCACAATAACCACCCATGGCCCCTAACGACATCGTCCTCCGCCACCACTAACATATTTCATCATCACCAATTGGAAAGTTAAAATTATATTTTTGTTCTTTGTTTTTATATTTTCATCGATAAAATTAATGATATTAGGATAAATAGATCTAGATATTTCACATTATAACTATAGAAATGATAATATAATTTTTAAATATAAATATCGAGATGCTAAAGATAAACATACGTAATATGTAATTAATCCTTAAAAGTCACATGAGAAATGAGATGATATATACAATTAGATAAACCATCCATCATTAGCATAGTTCGAACATTTTAGATCAAGTAATTTAGGCTCCTCGAGTTGGATCAGTTTTTTCACTGGCTGCTTGGAACATCCATTACAGTTAGTGAGAGATATTTGCGCCAAGAACAGTTAGCTCTAAACCAGTTGAAGCATGGCATCTGCAAATTAATGTAGTGAAAGAGAACGCAAAGAGTAAACACGTGAAAGAGGAAATGTATAAATCGTGACTATATTTATACATCAAAACCTTTTAGATTACACGTCTTTCTCATGATATGGTAGTTTTCTTCACCTACTAGCAATGGACGGCATTTTTCAATTCGAATCCCACAAAATTGATCCTAAAATTTACAGTGGCGGCCAGAAGAACAGAAACCAACCTCCTTGTGGCGTTGGCGTGATAGGAAGATACTGATGAAGTGAAGGTTGCCCGCATATAATACACCATTGCCAATGTCAAAAGCAGTCGATTGTATCATCCATTCCGATGCATCTTGAGCCTTGATGATTGCATCTGTGTTAACTCGACTGTGACAGAACATTCCATCCCAAGGTGGTTATCCACTGAGAGACGAATAAATCTGCTAAATGTGAACTTCTTTATCAAAATGGGACTAGGCGGCAAAAAATTTTACTTCCTCGGTCTGTCTGCTATTTGTCAGTTCGGACACTGCTCGCTGTCAAATGGTTTCAGTTGGCTCAGGCTTCCCTAAGGTCCCTCCTATTTCAATCAGATCTGGATTTTGACATATGCAGGAAGATGGAAATTCATGAAAGTCACCCCGCCCTGGCCTCATCTCATCTGGTTCCCCCATGAAGCCTCTCTGTGCCAACTTCACCTTCCTGGAGAAGACCTTCCATGCCATCTGGTTGCGCGCCTTAAATAAAGAGCTTAGCTTCTTAGCATTTGGTCTGATGGTTCTCTTGTATCCTATGTACCTCCTGCAGATTTTACGTAGAGGAATGCATATTCAGCATGTGTGCCACTCATTACATCAATAGTTGAAAGTAGTGTAAATGATCCACAACCCAAGTCTGTTTTGATCCTTTATTTGAAGATAATGAAGAAAAAGAATAGTTATATGATGATACCTCTTCCATATGGGTTTATGTGGATGGCTATGTGATTCTAGAAAGTATCTCTTTGCCACCTCGGTAAAAGATGAAGAAACACAGGAAAACATTATGTTTGGTGGTTAGCAGTTAGCACTACCTTTAAATACCTGTTATATGCCCCAACAAACCAATAAGGTTCTCTAAGGAAATAGTAGTTGTTTTTGTTATTTCCATGAAGCATTCATTGTTAATTACGAGAAGCTAACTAAGAAACTGACATGAAAAAAGGTGAGAAAAGTTTTGAATTATGATAGTCAGTTCTGGCTAGAGATGTCCTAAACAAAAGTTATAGGAGTAAAAGAAATAATATATTGAGAAAGACAGGCAGAATGGAACTGTTTAAAGTCATGTTATAATGCTTCAGATGCTAGAGGAACCCTGGGTTAAAAAATGAGTAAGATCTGAATGTCTTCACGTGTATAAGAAGTGTTTTCTTCAGAATCATACAATTATGCGGACAGTCAAAAAGAAAATCAAGAAGAATACACCAGGATTGCCCTAACAAACAAGATCACCAAGGATCTTTAGATGGCTTCATAAGCAGAAGGGGGAAATGTGCTTGCATATAGAGGTTATCAGGTATCTCCATGGTAAAACAAGAGGACATGATGTGGAGCACCAAGACTTAAGTAGGGGATGAACACACGTAAATCACTTAAAAGCATGTTAAATTCCGCTATCTATGATGAAAGGGAAAAAAATGATCAACAAGGGAAAAAAAATGCTTTACCTAAAGTGAGACAGTATGATGCCACAATGCATTATGAGATAATCTTGTCAACTTAAAGAAATAACCAGAGAGCATAACCTAACCATAATGTTAGCCTAATTACTTAATATAGACAATCTTCAAAATTACTACATGGAATTGTTGTTGGTCCTCAAACCAATTTTTTTTTCCAAATCACCACAAAAGCCTTGTCTTATCCAAAACAATTGTGGGAAGCAAGTCTTAAGCAAGAAACTAGAAATGGACAAAGAAGAAAGTGATTTGCCAAGTAACTAGTCATACCTGTGACCAGCAAGAATCTTAGCCATATTTCCATTGTTATTTGTGGCAAAGACATCACTCTCATCACAAATAATATAGTCGATGGCAGCAAGCTGAGAAGAGAATGGAAGGAAGGGCTTTAAATCTTCTCTGGCAAGCATTTCCTTTGTATAAAAATTTGGAAAGAGGTCTTTAAGAGGCTGCAGGGTCTCTTCTCCACCATATATTTCTCCAGAAGCAACATAAATATAAGTCTTGTTTACAAAGCCAAGAGCCCTTAACATTAAACCAACTTCATGTGGAGTCAATGGACATTTTCCTCGGCTTTGCTCTTCCTCAGCGCTTAAATCCTGCAAGAATATCAGCTTAAAGCATGGATTCATAAAGAATATATAGCCTTTATTATTGAAAAAGTGGAGATCAAAAACAGCAAATATGTCCACAAATGTTATTGGGGTGGAATTGATACCAAAGAACAACATATGCAAAGGCTATGTTTGTCGAGTTAGCCAAGATTCCACTAAGCACATCTATTTTTACTGAATTTTCCTAACAATTTTTTGGAGCTTGGTGTGAGGTAAACTCTCTTACTCTTTCCAATTCTTTGAGAATTGGCTTAATGGGGCTTGGTAGGAAGAGCAGCAATAATGAACAAAACTCAGCTACTAGTCTATTTTTTATAGCTTACAGTCCTTGGCTCCTATGGAAGCGCTAGAATGATTGATATTGTCACATCTACCATCTTCAACCTACGTGTATCTGGTTCAAGGCCCTGGCATCGATCAATGAATACTCCTTTCATAAAAAGAGCTGAGGAGTTTGATGGGCAGATCCAACCGATCTACTTCTGATGAGATCCCTTCAAATTTATATTACATTCTTAACTGTGATAGATTTGTATCTGCTAACTTGTTTTAGTTTCAGAATTGGCTACTATTTCACATATTCGTAGGATATTACTATTGCAACTGGAAGCAAGAACAAGAAACTCTCTACTTGTTGAATGCTGGGCTGTCAAAAAGGGGTGGCAAAAGCCTTGTTTGTGAGGTTAAGTATGAAACTGTACTCGTGAAATTCAAGACAAAAGATAATCCCAGTGATAAAAGCTGAAAATAATAAGCAGCGCTAAAATAATGAAAATATTCTCACAGGTAATGTGGTCCAACGTTTCCTAATTCCACGAAGTTCATTACGTTCCTTTTCTCCACCACCGTAGTAACAGCCAGAAAACGCAAGCATGTCTGGTTCAAACCTACATTTCAATCAACAAATGAATTCATAGCTCTGACAGGTTGCAGCAAAAATGGTTAGCCTTCACCTAAACTATTAACAGACAACTTTTGCCTTCGTCAAAACCAAAAATAAAAAAGGTATTAAACTTCTTGCAATCTTTTAGACAAACATATCCAAAGGTTATTAAGGTGTGATATTTATGTGATATAAGTTAATGGGGAAACTTAACATCATGCTTTATATACAATTGATAGTAGAGAGGATGTTATAAGTTGAACCATGAAAAGCAACAACAATTATAAGTCTGCATAAACAAACGACAGAAGATTTTACATCCAACAACTAAGCAGATCAACAAAAGTAGAGGGTCACTTGTTCAACTCTTGAACAATTTTAATTTAAAATATGGTATGAATTATTTCAATTTGGAATATCATCGACCAAATCTTGTGCCTCGTGATGGATCAAAGTCTGTTAAAGTTTTAGGTCGGAGCTTTGCAGAATCAGACACGAAGCACAAACAAATAGCAACTAAAAAGAAAGATTGCATCAGCAGAGGGGCAGAATGTTTTGATGACTTAACTATATGTTAAGGTTCTTCCAAGATAACTATCAAATGTCAAGAACCCTTATACACTCAAATTATCTGGTTTTAACCATATAAACATGCATAATCCATTTTATATGTGACATGTTTGGTCGAGAATAAGTTACAGAACATAGTTCACCAACTGCAGGTCAATGGACATTACTTCTCAGTTCTCACGAGGGAATTTGTCGGGATGGAAGAATATGGAAATGAAATACAATTCAAGACAACAATTGTTGGCACTAAACTAGGATGTGGAAGTATGAGCCATGCTTAGTTGAACTGAATTAATTTTATTCTGATTGACTTAAATTCAGATGGGCTACAACAAGTAGACTAGGCCTTGGCTCGAAAGATGACTCTCCTTATTGACTAATCATTTAGCATCAGAAAAACCCAAGCTTTGAAATAAGAAAATGAAATCTAGACCAGAACTTTGTTACAGTCAAGGAAAAGAGCTAAATGAATAACTAAATTTAGGCACATCCTTGGCAGAGACTACCAGCACAAGCTAGTACATTAATCCAAAAGATGACATTAAGCAAGCAAATATTCTTTGTTAAATTTAATACATTTTCCATCAATTAGGTATGCTTTAAAGGCAACCTTTAGATAGTAACAGCAACTTAAAATGCCAAGAAGCTTTCCAACAAAGAGAACATACCTCAAATGAACAGCAATATAGCGTGAGCTCATTGTTCGCATTCTCTTGACCAACTTCTGACCAAGTAATTGTATAGGTTCTGTAAATTTTAGTGCGTGATAATTTACACGGCAGCGTAACTTCTGGAGTTCGTCATCAAGGTTGTTCGTAAGCCTGTAATCAAACTTAGTCAACTGCACAGCCTGCAATTTATCAACGCATTAGAATGTAAAGACAAAAACACAAACCAGTTTCACCTGATTCAGTAAACAACAACAAAAAATTAAATATGTTAGGAGTTATGTCAGACTCATAGGATCGAGTATTGCCTTGATCGGTATGGTATGGGCAATGTTTACCAGTCTAACTACTACTCAGACCTTGGAGCATGCCCTACTGAGCAGTTGAAATAAAGATAAATATGAACCTAACTTTTAATCTAATTTTATGCATTAGTCTAGGGTTGATGTTTATTCTTGTATCCCTATGATTTATGATTGTTGTTATAAGGATAGCTATTTCGGGAAGCTTCACACTGCTTATCATGCCAATATTAGATGGACCCTGATAATATAATTTACTCGTACAAATTAACTTATATACCTTGATCAGATTTGTTTGTTTGATACCATTGTTACTAGTCATGATACAGTTACAGCGGTGGTACAAGTTGGAGGATCAACATCTGGGAAGAGTTGCAATAAGGAACCTACCACAGATCACGTGACTCAGCGAGTGAACATATTTGGTCAACATTCAGATTGATCCATATGAAAGTTCATAACAGGCTATCTTATAGATGCTTTGAGAAACTACTACACATCCACTACAACACACATGATACATCTAAGGTTGTGCTATGCTGATATAGAAAAAGAAACAGAGGAGCCTGAGATTGATCCATTTGATTTCCAATTTTATAATGATGATTGTGGTTTGATGCTCAATTGGATTCACACAGTTGAGAACTTAGGCAATCCTCTACTGGGTGAGACAGGAGACCCTCCATGGCCATCTTGTTTCATTACTGAGATAATACAAAAAGAGGAACAAGGGTTACATGAAAAACAGTTGTCGATGTCAGGTAGTGGCCGGATTCAAGCAGTTGGTCTGTAGGGTCATGGCTGGACACAACAAAGTAAGAAATCCAGCCATTGTGACAAGGGAAAAGATTGAGATTCGTAGTCAATTGATTTGTTGGGTAGAATTGATGAGCAGAATATTCAATCGGATGCCTCAGAATCCGGACATGGTGAGACCATGTAGATAGTAGTAATGTGAAGAGCAGCACATCAAGCAATGATGATGGTCAGAGTGACCAATCACACAATATCCACAACTCTAATGCACTCCAACCTATAGAATCATACTTGTCATGGTTGTATTTACCCTATGTGCTTCCTATGACATGGGTCGTTCATGATGATGAAACAATGACTGCTACCTCGTTATCGGATCAATGGTAACTGGTTACCAGTATCAGATGTCATGGGAATAGTCTCATGCATGAGCCTACTAGATGCACCATATCCATTTGGAGTTTTAGCGTATCGAGGACCCTAATTCACCTGCCTCTAACTCACATCGATAATTTGATGGTAAGTAGGTACATATTTGTTTTGTTCATCTAAATTATTATGCTTAAATGTTAATTTGAACTTCTTTTATTATGCTCATATGTTAATTTGTACATCTAATTTATTGTCCATTCAATCAACAATTTTGTGAACAAGTGGCCTTTAGTAACAATTAATAACTTTCAGATGATGTAAACATATCAAGTTAAACAATGAAAGACCTCAGAAGTTAGTATATACAAAGTAGTATCATGTAATCCAGATGCAAAATGCTAGAGTACATATGAATCAGTTTGTTGGCCCACTTACACGTCTCCGCAATAGTATTGGCAACACTTGATCAAGATAATATTCAGGAGTAGATTTTCTTGGAGGGCGCATTGTGTATGGAGGTTTTTCCATTGACCTCATTATTTTGTCTGGAATCCTTTTAATAATGGTGACGTCTTTTGAAAGGGAAGAAATGAACCAGTCAATATCAAAAATATTTTCAAATTCGCTGCAAAATAAAGAAAATATTTTTTTACACAAAATGTGTCTGATTAAGAAATACAACTCCAGCAATAATTGTCTCATAAGTTCTACATGTCTCACCTGTCATCTTTCCAAAAAGAATGATGATCAAGCTGAGGAACAACCAGAGTGGCATTTAAGATCCGGGCCACAACAACAGCATCTGTTATCTGATCATTAGAAAAGTAACGAGAAAAAATAAAATAAGTTCTTTCTTTAGCAGAAAGAAAATACACATAATAAGCAACAAGATCCACTAATTCTCTGAGATTTGATAAAGTATGTACACCCGATTCAAAGGGATAAAATAGTTTAGACAGTGGGTCAGTACACTCATGATCAAGGGCAATATTAACCATGTTTTTTCGGCCCAAAAGGACCAAACTTGTTCTAGGAATTTGGGAATCCAGTGACAGAAGATTGATGCAGCAGAACTTTCAGGACATGTCCTTCAGAGTCTTGTGAAAAAATAAAGTAAAGAAACAATATGGTGGATCTCATGAAGACTTAATTTAGTGAAAGATAATATTTCTAAACAATCTTATGAGGCCCTTTCAAAGTACTTCTTGATGACAACAAAATTAACAGCACAAGAGAAGAAAAAGTTTACCCCTGTTCTTTGTTGGTTTAGTCCTCCACTAGTTGCAATTAATAGGTAGCCATTTGATACACTTTCATGCACTGCAGCTAAATCACATGAACAAAGCATATTCAGCCATTAGTACTGTAAATGGTACTGCCATGTTGGTGGTGAAAGAGATACACATGATATTGTTACACCATAATCAGCATAAAACAAAGACAGTGAAAGCACAACCACTACTGAAGGCAGTGATTTTGTGGAATATTACATACACAGAATAAGATATCCAAATATATAAAAAGCTTCATGTTACTGTTTCACAGCAACTGTACAAATGTGTACAAAACTGTTCAACCTTGAATGATGAAAATACACCTTTAAAAATTCTTTCACTGATCCTACAAGCTTATAGTCAAGTCTTCTTGAGAGATTTCTGATAAATAAAGTATAATAATATTAACTTATATAGAAAATTTTCGTAGGAGGTGGCATAGATTGACAACTTAAGCAAACATAACAACACATATTTTTCAACAGAGTGGTTCATGCCTTCAGATACTCATGTTACATTGTGGTCAGACTCATTCATTAAGGATTCACATAAGTTGGATATGCACAACCCTACCTAGTTGGATTTTAGTTGGACAAGTTTGGATTTATACAGAACCTGTACTATATGAGATCGAGATATTTTTGGATCATGTCAAGCATTATAGTTATAGTTTATTCCAAATCAATAACAGAAATTCAAAAAGACCATCACCTGAAACATTTGGAAAGAGAAGTCATGAGTACACCTTAATATCAATTCTCAACTGATAGTTTTTTCTCCCTTCTAATATTTAGGAGACTTCCCCTGCGCCACAACTCCTATTCATCCATGAAACAACATAACAGCAATCTTTTACCACGTTTGAATTTCTCTGCTGCTTTGTCACAACTTAGCAGCTTTAATCCCACAAAACAATTAAAAATGATTGACTAATCTCAAGGGCTCATGCCAGGTATTATGTGCATGCCAGCCCTGGTAACAATGTACAGCACTTTGCATGTGCATCCCACATAATTACATGCCCAGACACAAATCAGGTCACCAGGAACAACTCATAGATGCATACCATATTGACTAAAGGCCCATATCAGATCTTGATTTAAACTGCAGCAACCATCCTAAAATACAGCATATCATAGTTTAACATGAAAAGAAAAATGTTGCATCAAGATCTTCACATCAAGGGTCATCAAGGGTCATGTCTATGACCATTTTATGCTTCACATCTCAAGGAAAAACCATGAGGCAAAATTTAATTAACTCAAGGGAAAGAAAAGGAATCCTATTTGTAATGCTGTAAGGAACTTACCACTAGAATGAGGGCTTCTCTCACTGCAACCATAATAGAGATTTGCAAATTCGGATTTCCATATATCGACAGGAAAACTGTATCCAACCTGCAAATGCCTTTATTTTTACAGTATGTACTAAAAAAAATTCCAACGAAATAAGAGGTCTAAGATTAATTTATTATGAAGCACAATGCACATTAAATGGATAGTAACTAGTTGCTTCCAGAAGACTTTACCTTGCAATGAAATTAATACACTAAAGCAAATATATAACTGCATGCTCTCGGAAAAGACAATTAAAAGGGAGGATTATCATAACAAATGTCAAATGAACAACAACACCACCATAATCCACAAAAACAAATAAAAAACCGGACAACCAACAACAAAAGCATAAAACATCTCCTCGTGTCACATTGCGTTCTCTGGGAATTGCGTAAAACAAAGTGATTCTATTTCTATTCCTTTCTTGTTTTGTTAGCTCATACCCTTTTGGTTTCCCACCGTCCTCGAATCTGCGACCACTCGAGGTCGGCAGCAATCTGGCCGGTGAAGAGCGAGACGAGGCCGAGACTGAAGAGCATCAGACCGCACAACACAGAGCGCGAAATCGCCCTCTTCCGCTGGCAAATACAGGTGATCCTGAACCACTTCTTGGGAACAAGGAACGACACACCCCTCAAACCCTGGAAACCGAGCTGCAACGCCATCCTCACAACTATCGTGGTCGCTCCCTCATTTCGAGATACACCGAGCAAATGACTCTAGCTCCGGGGGTGTTCTAATGGGAACGAAAACCTCCGAAAGTAATGGCGCGACCGCAGTCATCGATCTAAAGACGGATTGCGAGGCTACGGTCGATCCATTGATGGTTGCTTCGCGGGGAACAAGCTTGGATCGGAAATGGCGAACGCAAGTGATTAGGGACGCTGTTCTTTAGGGTTCCTGATGGGCTCGGAAGCGCGATGCGAGATGGCGTATCGGGGAAAGAGAGAGAAAGAGAAAGACAGGGGAGGAGGGAAGGAAATGGGGCAGTTAACGAAACAAATTAATGGCCATAAAAAAAACTGAAAAGGGATTTGCAAATAGTAAATAGAGCTAAAATTGCATTTACATGTGCTCTTCGCATTATTCGTTTTTTTGTAACCGTTTGGTGAATAATGGGTTCCATTATTCGTTCTTTCCTTATTCCTATCGTGAATTGTTAGAAATTATATTCATGTCTGTTATTACCAATAGCAGAGTTTAAATATGAAATAAAATATAGCATATATATTTTTCAATATTAAGACCCTTCAGCTGTATGAAACCTTGCGGTTAACAACCAATTAAAACACAGACACTTCATGTTCACATTAAATCATTTGTGTCAAAACTACCTAAAGGTCCAATCATGTGGTAGTCCCAACAACGAGTGATGTCATGCCATGAGAGGAAAGTGTTGGCTGTAGCGGCAGGAAAATGTGGTGCACTGGTCCCACTAAAAAGGGCCAAAGCCTTGTGTTATGAACCTAAGCGGGCCACATCAATTTCCAAGGATACAGCCACGAAGGTGTGATCACCGTCAAGAACATGTGATGGGATCTTAAAAAGAATAATGACAGTATATAATTTTCGATTGTAATCGATTAATATTCTAAAATAGTTAGATTAATAATAATTCAATCCAAATTCAGTGTACTTTAAGGCTATGTGAGGAGCGTAAAGTTGTGAAGAAATCGAATCACACTTAGAGCAGTATACTGAATTGAAGAAACATAATTAGAAAAATAATAATTTATATAATCACATAATTAGAAGTTTGATTAGTAATGAAATCGGACCAATATACAGTTTTAAGTAAATATTGTTGGAAAAATTTAAAAAAGGCTAAAAAATCTATTAAAAATGTTAAAAATAAAAAATGAAGGAAAAGAAAATTGGCGTCGCCCGGACTCGAACCGGAGACCTTCAGTGTGTTAGACTGACGTGATAACCAACTACACCACGACACCTCTTTATAGTAATAAGTTGGTTCGTTTACCTAAATTCGGTACCGCTGGACCCGTATATTTCGGCCCGGTCCATTGCCATGGCCAGGTTTAATGTAAGTAGGAGAGCTCGTGCATCAGGCCGACCCACGATCCAACGGTTCGACCTGATCGAATTCCTGCAACCCTTGCAGCGTTGGACACCCCACACATAGATCCAAACATGTGGACATCTCAAATAACAGTCGTCTATTTTATCTCCCTGAGATAAGTAATAACTCCTTTTGTTAGGTCACGTGCTTGGATCAGGTGGTCAATATTTTATGCATATTTGGCTGCGTTTGTCTTCCCAAACTGTTTCATGATCTACAAAGTCTAAAACTTCTCCTGTCGGCGGCCAAATGGCGGAACGAAAGCGAGATACAAACCTCAAACTTAGCCAAAGATTACGGGCGGCTGCTGCTGACCACCGCGACGGGGATGTCATCTCGGTCGTCCGAACAGACGCCGACGCGAGACGGAGGTCGGCCGCGCGAAGACTTCAACGACCAGCAACGCCATCAACGGCCCGGTTAACGGGACTCCCTCGCTTTCAACTAACCGTGATTCGGGGCGGTTAACCGACCGAGCGCCTCGAAAGTCGTGCGCTGCGAGCGACTGATCGGTCCGCTCGTCTCATGCAAACATAACGCATGGAGTGAGCGAGTGGGAAAAGGGCGGGGGAAGAAGAGGTTCTAAAGAACATCTCTGATTCATGGGAAATAAATTTGAGGTCTTGAAACAGTGCAGATGTTCTTAATTATCGAATAAAGGCTTGACATGAAGCATATCAACGATTCAAGAATGAATTGAAATTATCTTAATCAATGCAGTCAGATTTCTTCCTGTTGCTCTTCGAAGCCATGTGCAGGTAGCAACTTATCTTTCAATAATTTCCCGCATAGATTTTGCGGCTGAGACATTGCAGATTAGCTGAGCTTATGCACTCTATAAATAGCCCCCAGCCATTCCGTCTCAAGGCACACAACCAACACTTGTTCCTTCTCCTAGCTCGAGCTTCCGCTAGTGACCATGGCATTCCCACTCCACGGGTCCTCTTCTGTTCTTTCCTTCATTGTTTTGCTTGCTCTGTCTTCTCTCCTCAGCCCTTGCAATTGTTTCAACCCCAAGCGCTTAAACTTCTCGTCCTCTGCTCTTGAGGGCTGGTCGCCGGCGGGAGCCACCTGGTATGGAAGTGCTCATGGCGCCGGAAGTGACGGTAATGGCTGAGATTATACAGTTGCACAGCATATGCATGTTTAATCAGCCAACAAGCACACGAGCTCATCATATTAATTGGGTATGCAGGCGGTGCATGCGGATATGGTAACGGAGTTGACCGTGCTCCATTCTCTTCCATGATAGCAGCAGGTAGTCCTTCTATCTTCAAGTCAGGCGAGGGCTGCGGTGCTTGTTATCAGGTATCCATTTGCTTCCAAGATGTGCCCATCAAATGAACTTGCTCAAAAGATTGACTTCTTTTAACCTTGGTGGTCATGGAAGATCCGATGCACTAAGAACGCTGCATGCTCTGGGAACCCGGCGACGATTGTGCTCACGGATGAGTGCCCTGGCGGTATATGTCTCGCCGAGCCCGTCCACTTCGACCTCAGCGGCACCGCATTCGGGGCCATGGCAAAACCTGGACAGTCAGATCAGCTTCGCAACGCCGGAGTTCTCCAAATACAGTACACTCGGTGAGAACTGCTATCATCATCGCAGCAGTCTTATACACTGAGCCTCTACTGCTTTGTGCCATCTCAAACGACTCAGTCCCAACCCCAATTAAGAGAACACCAATTTCACGTGGCATGCTTATGTATATCGCAGAGTGGAGTGCAACTACGCAGGCATCGACGTCGCCTTCCATGTGGACGTCGGCTCCAACCCATACTACATCGCGGTGCTCATCGAATACGAAGGAGGGGACGGAGATCTCGCGTGTGTGGACATCAAGGAGGGAGCGTCGTCGTCGTCGTCGACGCCGAGCTCCTCATGGATCCCGATGACACAGTCGTGGGGCGCTGAGTGGAGGCTGAACTCAGGGCCGAAGCTGCGGCCGCCGTTCTCCTTCCGCCTGACCTCCGGCTTGTCGCGGAAGGTTCTCGTGGCCAACAATGTGATTCCGGTGGGTTGGCAGCCAGGGGCCACCTACAGATCGCTGGTGAACTACAGCGACTAAGTATTCCATGTTCGGAACTTTAATTACTGGTACTGTGCTGCTTTACGTTGAGAGATGAGATAGTTATCAAGCTCGTAAATAAAAAAGGTTGGTGGAAGAGGAGATAGGTTTGATCTCCCTCCGCAATCTCCTTCAAAACCATGTGATATGTGCTCGTGTGTTGTCTTCTTCACTCTTCGACAGTCAAAAGACACGACAAAGAGGGAAACAAAAAAGTGTTAAGAACAGTCATCACAAATAATTGAATACTAACAATAATAATGAAGACTGATAATAATATCGAATACGATCAAAAGAATCAGTACTAATTGTCATAATTTTAATTATCATCTTCTAATTTTTATTTAAAAGGTATAGTTCAAAAGAATCATCCTCTATATGAACTTCTGCAGCCATAATAAAATAAAATGGCTCAAATTGTATCGTGAATTTTTTGAACTATAAAGCCATGTATTTTATTATATGATTTATTTTTTTTAAGTCCAATTAAGATCGAAAGGAGCTCCTGCAGCCAATCCGACCTCTCAGCTCCGATTCATCCAAGAAGAACGATATCGACCGGAGGTGGCACATAGGAATCGAGAGAAAGCAAACACTGAAACGAGCATTACATCATCCTCTCACAGCGTCAGCATGGAGATAGCAGTCAGCATCTCGTCGCTGGGTTGGAGCAGCCTCAGCCGCTCCTCGTTGCCGGCGGGCCGGTCGCCGCAGAGCAAGCGGAGAGCCCTCCGCCACCTCCCGTCCCGCCGATGCGCCGCCCTGGCGGCAGTGGCGGCTTCGGCGGCGAAGATGCGGCCGAGGCGGAAGAGGAAAAAGCGGAAGGGTAGGGCGAGCCGGGCGACGACGAAAGGCAGCTTAAGGGCGAAAGGGCAGAGGAGGGAGGCCAGGATGTGGCAGTTACTATGCCCCCCGGCGAGGAGCGTCAGCTTGCCGATGATCACCAGGTGGGATCCCATGACAACCTCACTGACAAGCTTATCCTTGCTTGGTCTTGTGGCGTTGCAGGTCGTTCTTACTTATCTATTTGGTGCTATTAATAGCGCGAAGGGGAATGATCCATCATGAAAAGATAAAAATGCCCTCATTCAAAGGGAGAATTTGCTCCATCGTGGAGGTAGAATGAACCAATAGATAAGGGTATTTTAGTCATTTAATCTATGTAACTGTGGCTCGACTGCCGTTTCATTGGCCCTCGGCGCGACAGAAGCGAGCAGGCCTCACTACTCGTCTGCCACGTCATGGGAGAGGATGATACCGTGCTTGGTCCTCGGACAGCCGATCGGCAGCCTTCCCCCGGCGTGGGAAGCAAAGGTTACGTCCGGGACACACGGCAGATGTGGGGACGGGCGGCAACGCTTGTGCGTGCACTCTTCTCCCTGGTCGCCAACAACCCATTGCTCGCTCACTCTCGCAGGATCATCTCCGCCCTTCTTTCCCGGCCCAAGTCGAGTAGTTCGGGGTTTCTGTCGTCGGAGGAAGATACACACACCTACGAAAGGTCGAGTCGTCGGAAGAGGTCAGAGAACGAGCGATAGAGGACACGGACCCACGAAGAAGCATATGGGGGAAGTGATATATATATATATATATATATATATATATATATATATATATATATATA